GAGAAAAAAGAAAACCAACCGAACAAAAACAACCGGATAAAGATGTGTAAACAAACGTGAAAAATGTTTTCATCGGAAGTTTTAACATCTGAAATTTATTTATTACTTTTTTTTCATTCACACAACAACAACAACAACATGAAAAAGTCATCAATGTTGTAGTTGTTGTTGTTGTTGTTGTTGTCATCGATTCTGGAGAGAATCCTGTTTTGATGGTAAAAATATGGCCATAAATTTTATTTTATTTCAAAAAAAAAAATCTCTCAAAAATCTAGAATTCTAGTCATTGCCGTTCATCATGTTTATTCATGTTAGATCGGTTTGGCTTGTTGTTGACCGCCTGGCTAGCTATTTGGTTTTTTTTTTTTTTTGGTCAGATGCTTATTAGTGTTTGGCATAATCATAGCACCCATTTGCTTTCTGTAGTAATAATAATTTCTGGAATACAGAAAACTTCAAAATTGATCCATGAATGTATATCCAGATACTTTCTGGTATACTCCAGATATGAGAGTCATTTGTAAGCCAGAAAAAAAAGAAAAGAAAAACGTTAAGACCAAATTATCTTTGATCATTAATTTAAATTATCGTCATCATCATCATCATCAATGGTTCATATGGGTAGTTGAAGTGTGTGTGTGTGTGTGTGCTGGTATGAAGAGACTAATCATCCTGAACAAACAAAATTGCCCATAAGACATTTTCTCCGTATTCATTTTGTAGAAGGTGGAATCCAGAACCAGAAAAGAAAATTGTCGTCCATTTTTATCGGTTCATTGCCTTGTTTGTTGTTTATCTAATTTTCACTCTATTTTACTTCATAGTTTCATCTGTGTGGGTCTCATCATCATCATCATCATTTTTTTACTTTATTTAATTTCAAAATTAAATAATGTGTCACCATCACCGAGTAAAACATTGCATAAAGTGTATCTAAACGATGGCAATGACAATGTTGCATCAATCCATCAGACTAAAGAATATTCTCGGGCTCATAGAAATAAATACACATATAATGCATTAATTTTATTGGGATGCTAAAATTCTTCAATATTCTTTCTCTGTTACTACTACTATCTTTTCGTCGTTTTTTTCCCTCTTGTTCTATTTCATTATACACTAAGGACCTCATAAAATGATTGTGAGAATAAAAAGAATAAAAAAAAACAGTAAAATCTCTATAGAGACTAATAGCCACAGATGCATAAATTGCGATGGCCAAACGAAAAGTTCATTAAATTAATGGCAATAAAAGAATCTAAGAATTCATCCACCTACACACACCCACACCCACACACTATATTATCAGTGGTGATATTGGATTTTTATTTCTCTGAAATTCATTTTATATTTACTCATCATCATTTCATCATAATTATAAAAATTCTTTTTTTCCTGTTGAATTAATTTCAAATCTTTAATAACAACGGCGAGAAATAGGACGGGAAAAGAAAGTGTTAAATTTCAGATCTATTATAAAATTTGCAAAACAACAACAACAACAGCAAAGAACGTGGCAAACTAATTTCCATCATCATTCATAGAATAGAATACAAAAAAAAAAAACCATAGATGCATAGATGATTACATTTGATTCAATGCATCATCATCGTCGAAATTTATGCCAAAGGGCAAGTTTGCATCTCTATTATTTTTCTGGTATTCTTATCTAACACACACACACACACGAAATTCACGAATCTTCTGGATTATTCTCATTTGTTGTCATCGTCGTTATTATTATTTTGTTGTATAAGAAAAAAAAACTTACCAAAAGATCAACAAACAAACAAACATTTTGTTTTTCTTAAAAGCATATGGTATTTTTCTTTTCACATTGAAAATTTCATTATCTTCGACATCGTCATCATCAAAAACAGGCGATGAACGTATACGAAAAAAAAACAGAGAGCAGCAATAAATGGAAAAGTACAAAAAAAAAAAAAAAGTCAACGATGATGGTGAATAAGGAGAAAAAAAAAGTTTTCTCATCTCCACCAATATATGGTAATAAGTCTCGTGTTTTTTTTTCTTTTCGGTGGAATTATTGCAAATTAATATGAATGTGTATACATAGTATTTATGAACGAGAAACAGAAAAAATTAGCATTACCGCCCATACCTGATAAATGTTTTGGTTTTTTTTTCATCATCATCATCATCATCATCATCATCAAATTCTGGCAAATAAAAATAATGATAAATATCAGTCATTCATTCATTCATTCATTCACTGAATCTGCAAATTATTTGTTGTTGTTTTTTTGCAATATAGAGAAGAAGAAGAAGAAGAAAATGTTTCATCATGATTTGGAACAGATTTTGTTTCTTTATTCCTCATCATTCTTTATTCTTCATTCTTCCATTCATTATCATTTTCATGAAACAACAACAGCATTCAGGAATTACATTGCACAAAATGTTGAAAGATGTTTCATCATTGTCATCTTTGTCATTGTTGAGAGAGAGAGAAAGAGAAAAAAAAAAAAATTCAAATTATTCATCTCATATACATTCAATTTATTCGTGCCTATCATTGTCTATGTTGTATAGTGGATCAAGAATTTGGATGAAAGAAAAAGAAAAAGAAAAAACGTTATTCAAATTTGAAAAAAACAAATGTTTCATCATCACCCGTCATCATGGAACATTATCAATCATTTTCATTGAATCGAGAAGAACAAAACGAAAAAAAAACGTGATGATGAATGTTTCTGGGAGCCATGTCATTTTCTTTCATTTTCCACACACACACACACACACTCAGAAACATTGTAACAATGTTGTTTTGTTGATGCGGATCTTTGGTTTGTTGCATCAAGAAGAAGAGGGAAGGGGGAAGGAAAAACGTGTTTACATTTTATTTTTGAAATTCAGTAGTACAGAATTACTTCATCAATCACTTTTGTTTTTGTTTTTGTTTTTTGTGTTTTTTGTTTTCATTTCAATTTATTTTTCCTGTTTCACTTTTTTCTTGAATCAAAAAAAAAGTGATAATAATCTACCATTGTAATCAGGTAATTTGGCGTTTTTTTTTTTTTGCCTACTTTTTCGATGATCGAATGACAAACAAACATTGATGTGAAGAGTGAGAAAAACACACACACACATCGGAACAGATCAATTTTTTTCATTAAAATCTCAAGAGAGATTATTGAAAACACAGAACAACAACGATATTGGCTGCAGAAAACTTTAAGACTTTGATGATGGTAACAAAATAGAAATACAAATGTGTGTATTATGTTTGAATTGAAATTGAAATGGAATTTTTTTTGTTCACGCCACACTTGATTCTCAATACAATTACATAGACACACGCACATTGAATAATGGCCAATCGATCAATCGATTGTTGTCGTTGTTGTTGTTGTTGTTATCGAGAATTTTGATTCTTTTTTTTCTACTTTTTTGATGAAATTCAATATTGATTTGACATGCTATAGTTTGATTCTGAGATAGAACTGTTGAAATAATGAACAATGAAATCGATGATGAGAGTGTGAAAATGAAAATGATATTTGTACGCCAATAAACCTGAGTGTTTATTTATTTTTTTTTTACCATTCGATTATGATCATTCATTCATTCATTCACTTCTTTTTTTTTCGTTATAGATCGATAAAATAAAATTACACTCTTGGGACATTCGAAAAAGAAGAAGAGTGTAATATTTGAATCTTTTTTGGATGGATAAAAAAAATGTGTTTGTGTGTGTGTGTGTGTTCGACAAACAAACAATTTTTTTTCATTCGTATTTTCAATGATTTTTTTTTTGGTCCAGAAAGTGTAATGTAAATTGTTTGTTAAATAAAATTCTTAGATGAAATTTTTTTTTCATTTCGAATCGATCAATCGATCGATCAATCAATCGATGTGAGTTGATCATATAGAAATCACTTGGCGCATTGGCCAATTGTGTGTGTGTGTGTGTTTCTCCTTACCATTCGGACAAGACAAATCGATAAACTTAAATAATGAAATGAGAATCGATTACAGTAGAAAAAAAACAATTTAATCAATTATGATCCAAACATCATCATTCACATTTGAAAATGTCAAATTTCATTTTCGAAATTCTAATGGGTCGATTTTTGTTGGAGAAAATTAATTTTAAAAAAATTCAAATTCAAATAAATTTCACTTAGGCGCCGTCTATCGAATGAACGACAAAGTTTTCATTTGATTATAAAAACGGTTTTTCTGTTAAAATCATATCAAATCGATTATCATATCGAACAAAATGATGAATGAAAAATTGACAAATAATATTCGGTTCAATCCACCATGCGCATACATTGAATATGATGAGAATTGTCAGAAGAATTAACGTCATTGACCACCATTCTATGGATACAGAAAGGATGGGAGAAAAAATTATCAAAAAAAATTTTAAAAAAAAAATTTACCCAATCTATTCTGTTGTTGAACAATACATTCATCTGCCATTTCGCCAATAAAAAAAAATTTCAAAAAATACACGAAAATTTTCATAGAATTTTTGACATTTTTTAAAAAAAAATTTCGAAATAATGAATTTTCAATCAAAAAAAAAAAACAATCGAAATAAATGTAATGTAATTAATTATGCACACGCATAGTTTGTCAACCTTGATCTGTCACCACCACCACCACCACCAACACCACCACAATTGTTCATTTCTGAATTAAACATCTGATCACCATACCACAAACTGAAATTGTCAATTTTGAAAAACAAATGTGAACAATTTTGACAGCAGTTTTTTTTGCCCTTTTTCATTCCATCATGTCTAATCGGATCCATCTACATCTCATCCAGAGGATATCACCATCAAAAAAAAAATTGGTGTCAAGAGCTATAGATGTCAAGAATGAAATTTTTCGGTTTTTCAATAATCCATATGCACAAGCACACACACAGGTTATATATAAAAGATTCTTGATGAAAAAAAATTTCATCTTTGAAATTTGAAAAAAAACGCGCACCTTCAGCATCAGCACATTGATGATAATGAAAATGAAAATGATTTTCATTTTGCCCGTAATATTATTGTTATCCACAAATATCAAACAATCAACAAGTGATTTAATTGATCTACATCAAAATCTACCTATTGAACAATTATGGAAAGAAATTGATGTTGTATTACAATTAATGCATATGAATCGTACGATTGGTGATTTAGTACCAACTGCGATTGATGATTTTACTAGGCCATTAGAAAATATAACTGGTTGTTATGCATTTGAAGTACATCGATCATCATCAAAGTAATCAAACAACATTTATGAATATTTTCAATAAAAATCGTCCATTTAGTGATGTTGTTAAATTTTATTATCAAGCATTTCCTCAAAATGATATTTCTGCCGATTCAATACGTGCATTATTATTATCAACACGTGAAATTATCAATCTGTGTATGATATTCGAGAATAGAAGACAACATCAATCAGATGAAAACTCGATGAAATTTGGTTTTACAGAACTTTCTGATAAGGTAAGATTTTTTTTTAATTTTGGAATTCATTCCATTGATTGATTTTCAATGTGTTCAATTAGAATGATGGCTATATGAAAAATATGCAAGGACTTTTAACGGATGAAATTTATACGCCAGTAACGACATTATATTATCTTTGGTATAATGGCATGATTCGGCCATCAACACAATCAACAGCGTTGGATGGCTCAAATCCTGAATGCGTTCGTTTTGTCGATAATTTACCGGAATCATTTGATTGGCGTGATAAGAATGTTGTTACCGATGTTAAAAATCAAGGTGAATGTGGTAGTTGTTGGGCATTCGCCACTGTTGGATCGATTGAATCAGCTTATCTTATTCATAGTAATATGACAAAAGATCAAATTAATCTGAGTGAACAAGAATTGATTAGCTGTGCACGTAGTAATGGTTGCCATGGTGGAACATCAACGTTATCATTTGATTTTGTTCGCCATCATGGTTTAACTTCGGGACAAGTTATGCCTTATCAAGCTAAAGATGGTAATGGTTGTTTACATGCACCACCACCATTGGCAGGTATTCGTGGTTATTGTGTTCGAAGTGAAATACGTTATTCAAATCAATATTCATCTGAATATCTTACCGATGATGATATTAGAAATACATTAGTATCATATGGTCCACTTTATATTGGTGTTAATGCTGATAGATTATCAAGAAATTATCGTGGCGGTATCATTGATGATGATACATGTTCAATGCGTGTTAATCATGCTGTATTATTGGTTGGTTATACACCGGATTCATGGATATTGAAAAATTCCTGGGGTAAAACATGGGGTGAACAACAGGGCTATTTTCGTATTGCACGTGGTAAAAATATGTGCGGTATCAATACAGAAATTGCTTATCCATTAGTGGTTTGATTTTTTTTTTTTTTTTTATAAATATGAAATTTTTGGAAACAAAAAAAAATTAAATTAACCCATTAATGCCCAATTTTTTTTTTGAAAAAAGTTATCAATTATAGAAATTTGATGGCTACAAGTAATAAATATGACATTTATTTATTTTTAAAATTTTTATATTCCGAGAAATTGAACTTTGAACTTCCATCCTATATATAGGATGATGGGCACACAGACAACAAAAATTGCATATATTGGATATTATTGTTATTTTATCAAATACAATTGATATATTCGGTTTTTCTCTTCGAAATCCTTTTACAAATACAAATAATATACAACGTAACAATTAAAAAATATAAAACAACTCGATTCGACGATGATGATAGAATTGAAATATAATCAACCAATCAATCGAATCATTAAAATGGATTCAAATGTTTCGATTATTATCATTGATCATGTTGTTATTATTATTATCGTTTACCATACCATCAACAACATTATTTATTATTTGTTGAAGCCGTTTGTTGTTGATCATTATTGTTTCTGTTGTTATTGTTATTATTATCATTATTTGTAACCGTACGTTGTCTGTGAATCAAGCAGGAAATGAAGAGTGAAAATCCATTCAATGAATTTAAAAAAGCACATGTTATCGAACTTTCTGTACAAATGATTTGTGCTTGTGTTGTGATCAATTTGATTTTTGTTCCTGTGTAATTTTTAAAGATATACCAACATTTGGTATGAAATCTATTTTAATCATTATTATAATTTATAATTTTATTGTTCAATTTTCAGAATTAAAGATTACAATTTGTTGTGTAACAATTATTATTTGAAGAAATCTGGCCATAATTAAATAATGAATGCCGTGCCATTCCATTATTATGATTTAATCATAAACCAATTGTTGTAGATCGGTAAAATCTTGTAAAAAACTTGCTATATTTGAACCAAGTGATGATTCCTGTTGATTTAAACATTGTTCAATACTGATTCCTGAATTTAATAATGAAAAAATTTTCTCATAATCGATGGCAATCGATATTCGACATATTGGACATTTTTTATTTTGTTTCAACCATTTATCAATACATTTTATATGAAACACATGAAGACAAGGTAATCGTCTAAAAAAATCCAATAAAAATTAACCAATAATTTCATTTTAAACACAACAGACAAACACATGTAGGAAAATATACCTCCACAACAACAGCACCATTGTGAATGAATCAATGAAAAAAAAAGACAACAAAAATTGCATATATTGGATATATTGGATATTATTGTTATTTTATCAAATACAATTGATATATTCGGTTTTTCTCTTCGAAATCATTTTACAAATTAAAAATACATCAATTTGTAGTGTATTTATTTTATAATTTACTATGATATTATTTAAAATCATTTAAGCCGAAACTTTTATTGTACAAGATCCATTGATACGGTGATTTTTTTTACAAACATGGCATGTCCATTGTTTGTGATCTTGTATCTTGATGATGAAATGATTCCCTGTATTTAATAATTCATCACTGAGGCTAAAATGTCTTGGTCGACCAAGATTTTTAATTTTGAAAATGAGTCCAATGATAAATAAATTTTTGAAATTGACCTTTTATATTCAAGAAATTTTTTTTCTCTTGGGTCTACAATACAATAAAATGTATGAATTGGTGAATGACTGGTTTAATCGATTGAATTAGTGAATAGCAAAAAATACTACTTCCTCGATTTTATTGATAAATGGTAATTAGAAATATTTTACTAAACAACATATCCCATATTACACAAATAATTCTCAATCAACTTTGGTTGTTTGATGGTCATGTTTTTTGAGTTTGGTCCAATACACATTCAGTTTATTTTATCATGTTTATTCCTGGGAGCTATTCATGGTCCTCTTCAACACCTGACCCTGGATATACGCTTGGATTTTCTCTGTAAACCCCAGGCCTTTTTGAAGTATCTTGTGACCAAACCATCCCACATCAATACAATTAGCACTGTGGTCACCTTACTTCCATACATAGATTTCAGTTCGTTGGCCAGCAGTTCGTCAATTCTGTGTTCGGAATAATCCTCTTGTTCGAAATAACATATACTGTTTTATTATCTTTTCAACCTACAAGAAACAGTTCATTTTTCTTATCAAAACTATAATCTAATTTTTCCCTTTCTTTGTCGATCTTCAATGGCCAGATTCAGAATAAAATGCGATTCTTATTGCTGGTGTGGAGTTTGAATAAGTTGTTTCTCTCACTAATAAAAAGAATAGTACTCTAACAATTTGGCATAGAAATTCTTAGGGTTACCATACGTCTGGATTTAGTCCGGAAATATCCGGAATTTCTGTAATAATCTTGTATTGATTGTCTTGTCTTGTATTGATGGTGACCCTATGGTTGAGAAACACTGATGAATAGATTAACCAGATTTTTGTTTGGAAAAATATGCTAGTCCTACATAGAAAACAAGAGATACTACGATGTAATACATAGGTTTCAATAATAACAGAAGTTGATGTTTTAGTACTTTGAATGCCCATGATCCTATATATAGGATCACCGGAAAATCATCATTGCGGTAATTAGATCTAATTTTAATTTGATAACTCATAATTAAAAATGTTATTTAAAGATCATTTTACATTTTTCTAATATAAATTGTTATCATTTTCGGATTATAAAATGGTCTTACAACACTTTGAATTCTAGTCATTCAGAAAATCCGACTTTTCGACAATCAAGATCAAATTAACTGTACTTAGATAAAGATAATACAGATGAGTTATATATCATTTTGAAGCTAAATAAACGTGAATAAAACGCTTTTAATTTTATAAAAATTGAATGAATAGTTTTGAAATTATTCATCTTCAAGTAAATATCCTATATCAGGGATGGCGAACCAATTGGCACGCGTGCCAATTTCCCACAGAGCTCTATTGAACAGGGGGCGCACGTTCGCCACCCCTGTCCTATATATATAGGATGATGGGCATTAGTGGGTTAAACAAATTTATATTTTCAATCATTGCCAATAGATGGCTGTATTGAATTGAAAAAAATTTGAAATTGTATACAAACAACAAAAAAATAATTTATTTCCAGTTTTTTTTTTGAAAAAACAAAATAACACATCAGAATAATGTTGTAGTAGTGAGTATATATGAGTCATCAAATTGCAATTTAAATGCAACACATTCTATAGATTGAAAATTGGGCATTACTGAATTGAATGGTGTGTATGTTTAGTATTTAAAGGATTGAAAATTCATTGATTTTTGTTTGTTTGTTTGTTTGTTTGTTTGTTCCAGTAAACGGATTCGACGCACAATTTTATGGATCTGAACATCTCGTGAGACAATCAAATCGACACCCTTTTTTTCATATAAATTCCCAATGTCCTGAAATTTTCAAGAATCATTTTTTTTTGATTCTATTGCACAAAATGAAAATTTTCACATTTATTCAATACGTGTGAGAATGAAACTTGTATTTTTTTTTTTTTTTTTTTTTGTATCATGAAAGATTTTTCGTTCATTTTTCTGGACCACTTATTATTTCGAACAAACAAACAAACACACAAACAACCGAACATAACCACTACCATAGTCTCGTCTGGTTTTATCTTACTATATATCTTGTCAACTTGTACTGGTGGTGATGGTGGTGGTGGTGGGTATGTTGAAAAAAAAAAAAAAAGTTGAATGCGCTTGCGAAACATAATAATAACCAGCATCATCAAGTCTTTGTATTTTTTATATATACGAAATTGCTGTAAGTGTGCGTATATTCATTCATTTGGCCATTCTGTATTGTTTGGTGAAGATCTTCCATTGTCATCCGTGTTTTCTATGATTCAAATGTTTGTTCCAAATGGAACAGTCGAATATTCATCATTCATCACACACACACACACACACACACAAAGCATAAACAAAACACAAGCAAAAATATTCGTTTTTTTCTGTTTATTGGTCCAGGTGAATTAGCCAATAGCCAATTTCAATGACGAATTAGAAATAGTGGTCCGTATTGGTCATCATCTTAAACACGAAGGTCGACATCGATGGTCTGGTGTGTGTGGTGGTGGTGACCTTCTCAAGTCAAGACTACTTCGTTCGTTCTCATTCTCTTGGATCGGCCAAATAAAAAACATCTGTTCATCGAGAACATAAACGACTAATCTAAGACCATCTTGGAAAAAAAAAAAAAAATTGTGTTTCAATTATGTTGTTGTTGTTGTTTTGATGTTGACAATAATGATGATGATCAACATGATGATGATCATTGATTATTTTTGTCTGCCAATTTTTTTTTTCGTTTGACATCTTTATAATTATTGATTTTTTTTCTCATCCACTGTTGTGTTGTGTTGTGTTTTGGCACCAATTTGTTTGTAAGGGCGTTTGCCTTGATGATCAAATTTTGTTTTGTTTATTTGTGTGTCCATTATCATGTCACTATAAACAATGTATGTCATTTATTGATCCAAATTGAATTCAAATATCAAATCATCAACAACGACGACGACGACGAAAGAAAAGAAAGATAAATATCGAATTTCAATCGATCTCAATTTCTCATTCTTTCAAACAAACAAACAAACAAAAACTCAACCACTCATTGCATTGCAATGAGATATCAATTTCTCAGATGATAATCGATGAATTATCAATTGATGCCAGCAAAAAACGATACAGCTACACAGTTCTCTGAACATTGAATTGAAAATTTTTATTGTTGATGTTTTTTTGTGTTGTGTTGTGTTGTGATTGTTGAAAATTTCTCTGAAAAGCAAAAAAAAATTGACAAAAAAGGAAAACGAAAATTTTCACTCGATGATTATCATTTGTTCAATTCAGCAATATTTATTGAAATAAATTTCGACCAGATGGTTTTTTCATTCATTCATTTTGATTGGTCATCATCAATTCATCATTGATTCATCATGTTTACTGCCACTATTTTTATTTGGTTTTTCATATTGTTATTTTCATCACATTCAAATGGTAATCATCATCATCATCATTGTTTTTTTAATTCTCATTTTAATTCTAATTTCATATTGTAGCCATTCCATATCCAGGCACAATAGATGGATCATCCAGTGGTGGTGGTGGTGGCGGCGGCGGTGTTGGTGGTACAAAACCACGATTAAAATCATTCAATTTTGAACCAAACATTTTGGATGGCCAAACTGTTCGTGTTTTCTGTCAATTAATCGATGGTAGTCAACCATTATCATTTCAATGGCTTAAAAATGGCCAACCATTATCATCTACATCTACATCGTTGTTTCAACAACAAAATTCTTTTACATCATCATCATCATCGTCGCCCACATCGGCTACAATGACAAATCATGTTGATATACAAACATTTCATGATTATTCATCATTAGCCATTTATCGTGTTGATCGTAATCGTGATATGGGAAATTATTCCTGTCTTGTATCAAATAGTTATGGTTCAGATCAACATAGTTCAATGTTGATTGTACAAGGTTTGTTTGTTTTTCGTTTTAATCTTTTTTCTTTTTCTCTAATCTTCATCTTCATATCTTGATTGGTTTACAAATTTGTCTTTGAATTTTCTTTTTTGGAAGTTGAAAATTTACATTTTCAAAGTGAAATGCACACACACACTACTCGAAGAATATATTCTAATTTTAGAATTTTTTTCTTTTTTTTTTGTTAGTCAATGGAATGTGATCATAGCATCTAAACGATGATTCTAATGCAAATGACAAACAACAAACTTTTTTAAATGAATTCAATGAACTTTTTTTTTTTCTACTTGTCGTGTCTTTTGTCCTAATTTTTTTTCTTCTTCTTCTTCTTTTTCAATTTGCATTTGTTTTGTTTTGTTTCGTTTTCATTCAGCTTAACTTTACTTTGCATGATAATTGGCCATTTGCATTTTTTTTTTCATCTGGAAAAAGTGGTAGGCAACAACAACAAAAAAAATGAAAATGAAAAAGAAGAAACAAAATTGAGAATTCAGAATTTTCATCATTTGTTTAACGATTCTATCCTATCCTAATAGCAGGATAATAACAACAACAAAAAAAAATCTCTTAGGTTTCTGAGAAACAAGAAAAAAAATTTTTTCGAAAAGTTTAATTCCTCTGTTTCTCTCTCTGTGTGTGTATACGATAAAATATATCGTTTCACAATTGTCCTAGCTGTGGCTAATAGTCCCTATGGATCCAGATTTTTCTTTTTTTTCTTCTTATTAGATTCTTCATTATTCTTTCAATAATCTTTTTCTTCATTCCATAACAATAGATTGATTTTTTTTTGTTTCTTTCTTGGTTGTCTTGGGTATTGCCAGCCAGAAAAAAAATCATCATTTTCAATTTGGTTTTATTAATATATGGTATATATTTATTTGTAACGAAACGACACGAAAAAAAAATACAAAATCCAAATTGTTTAGACAGCTGTTAAGCTTTTATAGAATGGAATTGAATACTTATTACAACCAACATTGAGTTTCTGTATTTTGTTTTGTTTGTTGGTTTGTTGTTAGTTGCAATTTGCAAACAAACAAACAAACAAACAGCAGCAGTAGCAGCAGCCAGTCAATCAAGCAAATAATGAAAATAAATTGAAAATGAGATGGAATCGATACTTTTTTTTTTTTTTTTTGTTTTTGCCAGATGATAGTCGCGTGGCATATTTTCTGTTTGTATATTTAGACATGAATGATGATTAGTGATGAATTTTCTCTGTGTGTGTGTGTGTGTGTTTTTTCAAATTAAATAATCTTAAACATTTGACCTTTCAACTTGATTTTTTTCTGATCTTGTGGCAGTTGCTGATGATTTTAAGTGGTGATGGATTTTCTTGTCGTTTTTTTTTTTTGCTCTGGATCATGAACCATCCATAAATGAAAAAGAAAGGTTATTGATGAGGAGATGAAAAAAACGGAATTTGTTGTTGTCATTGACATGTTACCATAATTGATTAACTCGATACGATTGTTCCAGATTTTGTTGTTTTTTTTCCTGGTAAAATGTTAATAATGTTTCGCAAAGAAAAAATCATCATGTTCCAGACATTTTTTTTGGAAGGGGCGGTGTGTGTGTGTGTAGAAAATTAGAATTTCATGTTCTGACTCCATTTATCCGTATATAGGTTAATTAGTTTGTTCAAACATTTTTTATATTTGGAACAATGATAAATTAATCGGAAAAAAAGAATATCTATCGATTGTCGGTCGATTCATTCTGTTTTTTTAATTATTATCATAGCAACATCAGAATTTTTTCTACAGAATTCATTTACGAATATTTTCTTCTTTTTTTTTTATTTATAATGATTTGCAATTAATTAATTGCAGCCATTTGTTGTTGTTTCATAATTATCATTTTATTTTTTTTTACGAACAACACCCACACACAGCGACAACAACAACAATCGATTAAGTTGAACTTTTTGACTCCATTTTTTGTGTGTCATTGCCTTGATCGTTTTTTTTTACTAATAATCATTATTTCAATTCATTGAATTTCATTATGTTTTCGGTTTTCAATATGTGTCTAATGTGTGCGTGTGTGTGTATGTGTTAAGAAGAAGAAGAAGATCACTTTATGAACGGAAATCGTTATGAATGATAGACAGGATGCACGCAATGATCGTTTTTCTTTCTTTGTTTATATATTGCTTGTCATTATTTGGCCTCCTTGTACGTGTGTGTATGAATATGTTGACCATCGTCGTTGACAACAGACAAACGATCATTTATTTATTTAAATGAAAAGTTTTTTTTTGTCGTTTAGGGAATGGTGTGCTGAAAAAAAAACAAAAAAATTCATGCTAGATTGACTTTTTACGTTGAGCTTGTTTTTTTGTTGATATCACGTGCAGCTTGAATAACCGATGTAAATTGTTACATGTTTTTTTTCAATCTATTTTTTTTTGTGGAAAATAAAATAGAACCACCAAGTTTTTTGGAAAAACCACGAGATATATCGCTAGGTTTAAAACAATCAACAATTATTAAATGTCGTGCCACAACACCAATGCAAGGACATATTAAACCGGTGATTAAATGGAATCGTTTATTATTGGATATTGGATCATCATCATCACTAGCAATACCAAATAGTAATATGGCCATTCCAGGTAAATATAAATTGTATTGGATGTAGTTAATTAAAAGAAAATAAAATAAATTTCACACACACACACAAACACAAAAAAAACTAGATGCTAGACGTGAACAAATATCAAGTGGTGAACAATTACATTTAACCGATATCCGTATTGAAGATGCTGGCCTCTATGAATGTGTGGCGGAAAATCCACATAATCGTTTGACTATAAGTCATCAATTCACGATTACAGTCAATGGTAATTAAAAGTTTACACGAATCGTTGTTGTTGTTGTTGTTTGAATTTCATGTTTTTCATTCATTTATAGTTCCAGCATATTTTAAAACAAAATCAGATCAAATAGAAGTGAAACGTGCCGAAACAGCTAAATTAATTTGTGAAACATTTGGTGCAAAACCTATTCATATTGAATGGATGAAACAACAGCCACAAAGTGGTGAATTTGAACCATTGAATTTGGATTATATTCCTGATGCATATTCATTTCCACGTTATACGGCATTGGAAAAGAATTTTGATTCAAATTTTGATCAGGAAAATTCTGCCATAGAATCATCATCATCATCATTGTCATTGAAATCAATGCCTTTTGTTAATAATAATCGAACATTATTCGAATTACATATTAATTCTGTAAATTCAATGGATAATGGTCAATATGGTTGTCGGGCATGGAATGATTATGGTGAAGATATGCGCCGTATCAATTTGTTTGTACAGGATGTTCCAGCTACGGTTCGTCAACTGCAATTGAATCAAATATGGACTAGTGAAGCATCTATTAGTTGGTTATCACCCGAATCGATTGGTAATTCACCAATCACACAATATCTGTTGCAATATTGGAAAGAAATTCGACTGCCAAATTCTACGATGATTTCATCTGGTTATCGTTTGCATGAAATTGAATTGCCATCCACGAATAATGTTTATTTGATAAAAAATCTTACACCCGGTACATCATATGCTGTACGAGTGATTGCAGTGAATCAATTCGGACATGGACCATCATCACAATTATTACGTTTTCAAACTGAACAAGAATCACCCGCTGCTTCACCGATCGATATTCATGTTGAACCACAGGGTACACAAGCATTGTTTATACGATGGAAAGCACCACCAAAAAGTAATTGGAATGGTCGTTTAAAAGGTTATTATCTTGGTTATCGTTTGATTACCACAAACGTTGATGATCAACAACAACAACAACAACGTGCATATAAACAAATTGAATTCAATGGTATGGCTGAAGATAATTATCAAGAAGAATACATCTTGACCGGATTGAATAAAGCTTCATTATATGGGTATGTTTCATCCATTGTTTTTTTTTGTCTAACGGGAGGATTTAGGATTTCAAAATCTGAAAATGTTTGACAAATGATGGTTTGAATTTGAGGAAATGAGAAAAAAAACATTCATTCATTTAGGGTGTAACGTATTTACAAAGTTCATATTTGATCATAACTGGACACACAATAAGGGCAATTGAACTTTTCTATTTTTAAATATTGATTCAATGATGATGAAGAATGAGTTTGATATATTCTTCAATTCGGTGAAAATGTTTTTTTTTCTTCAGGGTAAAAAAAAATCCATTACTTTAGTTCACTAAATATGCCAATATGAAGTTTGTCTAAATTGAATAAGATTTTTTTTCTCGCTGAATTTTTTTTCCTGAATTTCGAATCGAAACATACAATAAATTCATTTATATAAATCATATACGGTTCGAAACATACAATTGTGTTTCCTGAGGTTCTGGATTTTGGTTGTTGATGATGATGATGATGATGGAAAATCGAAATTGAATTTTCCTTTTACCCATGTTATTATAAAACCGGCAAAATTCTGTTAGCTTTTTTTCCCAAAGTTTTGAAGATGATCTATGCCGACAATTTTTTTGAAAAAATTTGAAAAGAAAGCCCAATATTTTCGATTATCGATCCGATATCTTTATTATATATGATTCTCATTGAATCTTATCGATCTATCGATCGATTCATTCATTCAAGAGTTTTTTTTTCTTCAAGTCAAGTTTTTTTTCTCCTGTTCTCGACTTGATATTTTGATATGAAAAAATTTTATGACAACAAAATAAATCTATACGTTTTTGTTCCAGAAACAATACAAAAAAAAAAAACACATTCGCGTTATATCTTTATCATTGAATCGGCGGCACGTTTTGTTGATTCTGTTGTCCCAATCTATCCACCCAACCTAAACAACAACAGCAAAAAACAACATAAAGTTTACTGTCTGGATAGCCGGGAACATTTATTATGTTCCTGGCCATTTCAGATTGACCAGAATTAACTGGGTGTTTTTTTTCTACACTTTCTGTCACTTTATTTTTCAAAGCTGATAGAAAAAAAGTTTGAAGTTTGACCTAATTCTTTTTTTTTATATAAATAGCCATTCTTTTATTATTTTCATTATTCAATTATAGGGTATAGAAAAAAAGCACATCATCATTATTATAGTTCGAACTGCTTCAGGTACAAAAAAACATTGAAATTTTTTTTTTCATTTCCTAAATTCATCCAATTATGACGATGGTGTTGGTATAACGAGAGAAAAAAAATTGCCCAAAATCCCAGTGAAATCATCATCATCATCATCATTATTTTGATTGCTTGTGTGTGTGTGCATGTGTGAACCAAACTATTTTGTTGAAACGAAAAAATCATCTTTAATATTTAAGTACAAGGTACATGAATGATGGTGCAAAGGCCTTGATGATGATGATGATGATGATGATGATAATGAGCTTCATCACCAACACCAACCAAGTGCCAGAAAATAAAACGAAAGAAATACTTTTTTTTGTGGGTTTCAAACACGAATTTCAGTTTTTTTTTCATTCCCGTCATTTCAATTTTTTTCCTGTTGTTGAAAAATGGCACCATTGTTGTGTTGAGTCAAAAGAAAAAGAATTTTTGTGTGTTTTGGCGCACGATTCTGGATCAATACACACACACACACACACACACCCAATGACAGCCACATACACACACACAAAAAAGCAATTCTCTAGATTCTGGACGCTGAACTTGTGTGTGTGTCATCCTAATTTTCAGTCATTGCATTGTTGTTGCCTTCATGTCTATCTATTATTTTTGATATGAGCCTATACAACTATCGACGACCACGAATGACACGAAAAGTTTGTTTATTTGGGATGCTTGGAATTCTAATATATAGAACGAGGGAGATATATATATTTATTTCCTGGAACATGGGTCTATAGCTGCAAAATAAATTTATATATGCAATGCCATAGTATACACATACATTTTCAATGAATGTAAAAGTTTTGTGTGTGTGTGTGTCTGTTGCCATTGGGCCAATGATAAAAAAAAATTTCCAGTTGATCAATTCAGAAGAAATTCAGAGAATTATTTTTATTTTCCATTATCATCATTACACACGGAAATTAATCATACTACCAATAAATTAATGTAAAAATATTCTTTGTCTAAATTTCCGGTTTGTTTGTTTCATGGAATACCAAAAAAAAAAAAAAAAAAATCTAACCAGACACACACACACACACAGAGAGAGAGAGAGAGATTCGATTTTTTCGTTTTTAGCCAATTATATTCACTGTGAATGTTGAATTGTTCAATTTTCCACGATTCCAATGTTCCGGGTGTGAGAAAATTTTTTTTTTTTTTTTTTTGATATTCAGATAAAGATTGTGTCTAGAGAATCTATGAACAAAACGAATGTGTAATTTAAATTCATAAATTTCAATGAAAAAAAACGGTCCATTCACAAAATGAAAAAAATTCTTTTATTCCTATTTAGGAAGAAAATGACACACACACATTCATTAAAGAGCATTTCCCTTCCAGTGTTTATCATTAATATTCATAAAGGAAAAAAATGGAAAAATTCCTGATGACGATGATGCTTTCAATTTTAAATCAGAACAGTTTTGATTCATTCATTCATTGGTTATATCTGTGTAATTAGAACTACTCATTTTCATTTTTTTTTTTTTGCTGACATGACAAGAATCGTATATAGTAAGAAAGGAACATTTTTTTCGGAAATTCGATCCTTTCCACCAATAATTATAGAGTTTAAATCTTAGTATGATTGAGAATTTTGATTAAAAATTGCAGAATAAATTTTGGATTCAAATAAATTTACATTTACATTTAAATAACATCTGTAGAATCCATTTATCATTGTCATTATTAATGATTTCATATTCTCGAATTCGTCGATTCTTTATAATATATGTGTTGGTTTGTTTGATTTATGTGATTCACAAAGAAAAAAGACACAGAGAAAATCTCCAAGGATTTTTGTTGATGATGATGATGATGATGATGGTTATTTAGCAACATCCATATGTTGTCGTTTATATTTATTTTGTAAAAGCTTTTTTTTTGCTTCCAAAATGTTTATATTAAATAATAAGTATATGTAATGCACATATGATGATGAAAATGTTTTTTTTTTTTCATTACAAAATAAACATTGGCGCAGTGTGCATATGTATCGATCATTTGTATCGATTGTTTCGATCATCAATTTCAAATTTATTAATTTTTTGATTTTTTTTCTCTCAATTTTCATACAGAATCATTTTAAAATGTTTCAACGATGTAGGTGAAGGACCTGGTTCACATGAAATATTTGCCACCACAGCAGCTAAAGGTAATGGTTTGGCTTTTCATTTCATTTAATTTGTTGATGATTTTTTTTCTCATATATATAGATCCACCACCAAAACCGACATTGATATTAGTGGAAACAAAAGAAAATTCTGCATTACTTAAATGGAATAAAGATTCTGTTGATGATGATATAAGTCGTAAGAATTTTTTTTTACAAATTCATTCGAAACAATTTATGATTGATTTTGTTTTTTGAAATGAAATGAATAGATTATATGATTGGCTATAAAGAAGAAAAGAAAAATAAATGGATGGAATTGGAATTGGCTAAATCGAAATTAACCACCACCGATAATGATGATGATGATGATGATAAATATTACAATTATCAGCTGAATGGTCTGCAACGTGGTACCGTGTATCAATTATATCTTCGTTCAATTGGCCAAGATAAAAATTCCATTTCTGAACCAAGTGATATGTTGACAATACGTACCGGTGGTGAAGGTAATTATTTTTTTTTTTTGTTGTGAATATTCTCGAAAATTGAATTTATTTATTTATTTTTTTTCTTCCAAAAACGATGATTATTTAGTACCATTAGTCAATATGCTCAATTCGAATCAAATAGAATCACAACCACAACAACCTTATCATGCTGTAGCGGCTATACCGACAGCCGCATTTATGCCAACATTAGCTACGTATAATCATCAACAACAACAACAACAAGTGCCTCCTTATTTCCGTATCGGTTTTATTATACCAATAGCCATTGCTATCGTTGTCATTGTCATCGCTTGTGTTGGAGCCTATGTCTATATTCGTATCGATGATCGTAATCAACAAATGAAATTATATAATGCTGCTGCTTCGGTTTCTGCTCCAGGAAATGGTTGTTCCAATGTTCATGTTGGCACATTAGCTGTTGGACCTGGAAAACGTTTTCAATATATTTCACCTGGACATACAAGTAGTAGTGGTGTTGGTAAAATGTTCAATACTTCTATAACACCATCATCATTGAATTCAAGCGGTATTGGATTACGTGATAATTCTTGTACACAAAGTTTAGTATCTGAAGAAAGTAGCTTATCGTTTCGATATTCCGATAGTTCATCTGATAAAGGACGTTTATTATTATCAAGGCCACCACCTCAACAATCATCATCGTCGTCGTCGTCGATGATACCAACTGGCGTTGTATGGGCACAACAACAATCACCAATACCTGAAGAAGATGAAGCAATTGTCGATATTGATTCAAGCGCATATGAAACATTACCATTTCAAAAAAATGGTCAATTTCAATCAACACCAATGCAAAGTTTTACATCAGCAGCAAATCAATCACAGCATCAGCTGACTAATAGTAGTAATAATTCCACAAAATCACCATCATTTCCACCACCACCACCGCCACTACCTGGTGCAATATTTAAATCATCACCATTAAACAATGCCAAGCCAAATACTTCTCAGAACAACAACAACAACAACAATATATTCTGTCATCACGTCGATGTACATCATACACAATCATCTGCAGCAACATCCGATACGAATAATTCTGATTCATATGATGATTTTCGTTTCTTTTCACGTGTCTAGAACACAGAATACAGAAAACAAAAACGCAATTAAAACCAATAACAACAAAGCCATTTCTTTTTTTTTGCTGTGATCAATGCTCATTATTCATACACAAACACACATTCAAACGACAAACGAATTGAATCATTAAATCAGTAAAAATCCAATTGTTTTTGTCATCTTTTAAAAATTTCTGTGATTTTATATTATCTACATCTGAGAAAAAAATCATAAATTGAACAAATTTCTTTCACTTTTTTTTCGATTACAATTTACATTTCCACATTCATCATCCAAAAATCAATTAATTAGAATCCAAAATTTAATTAATCAATTAATTTATTGCAAAAGTAAAAAAAAAACAACATCAACAAAATATTCGTGCGTGTGTGTGTGTATGTGAGGCTAGCAACAACAACAACAACGATGTTTGTAAATACAACAATTTCAACGAAATTTTGCCAAAAAAAAAAAATTGTTTCTGTTATCACACACACACACAAATCAAAAAATCATTGATTCATCATCATTCATGCATTCATCATTTCATTGTTTTTCGATTGAATGAATTTTCATTTTCATATAATTCCAACAAAAACCATCATCATCTCATATATTTATCATATGTGTAAAAATTCTGAAATTCTGAATTTTCTCTTTTTCTTGTGAATTACAATTTATTATTATAATATATTCTGGTTGAAAAATATAATGTTTCCATCATCTGTATGTATGTGGGCGTCGGGGGACGTTGGTCAATAGAAAAAAAATCAATCAATTAATTAGCCATTTTTCAACTCTTGTTAAAAATTAACCTTTTTTCAACTTGGGTGAGTGTACATGTGTGTGTGTGTGTGTGTGTTTGTGTTTAGAAGCTGCAATTTTTCCACTTATTGATCAATCTGAATCAACACTTCAATGATAGTGGTTTCTATTGATTTTTATTCGAGAGAAAAAAAAGAAAAGAAAACGAAAAAACGATATTAAAAATGAAAAGAAAATTTGTTAAAATTTTTTAAACAAAAAAATGAAAAATAAATATTCTGCTGCTAATCTGGGTCCAAAAACCAATTGGTCAATCCAGTCTAATCTATTCTGGTCATGAATTAATTATCACATCACATAGCATCATGATTTATCACTTGTTTTCATCATTTTGTTTGAGATTAATATGGAATGAGATTTGATTGTTTTTTCAACATAAACAACAACAACAACAAAAAAATCTATGAAATACTACAACATTTGGGCCGAACATGATCAGTAGATTTCATTTTTGTTTTATCTTTATCATCATCATTACTGGTAATGATACGCATTCTGCCTGAAGAATTATTTTTCATCATCACACCATTTGTTGTTCCATTTGAATTTACATAATGATTTTGAGCGGATTTCTTTTCACCACGATAAAAATGACCTGAACCAACACTAACGCCCTTTGTTGTGTTGTTGGCAGTTTTTCTTTTCGCTGCTATTGGTGGTTCAATTTGTTTATTTTTATCTTTATCTTTATCATCATCAAAATTGGACCCTTGTTTTTGTTCCTGATTTTCATCACCATCATCATTATTGGATAACAACGTTGAATCACCTTTCATATCAGCCTGTGTACTATGATCAATCGATTTTTTATCATCCACAATCATCATTGAATTATTATTCATATCCGATGTTGATATAGCCTTGATTTTTGACGAGAAGATCAAAAAAAAATTATCATTTTAATGAATCCATGAAAAAAACATTGAATTTACCGTATCAAGTAGTTGGCTTTTAGTAAGTAGATTACCGTTTGATTGACAATCGTTATCACTTAATTCATGTTTACATAATGGACATAAATGTTCCGGATTTAAATCGGTTTGTATGGCAACATTAAATGATTCGGTTGGTGTCGTCATCGTCGTCGTCGCCGTTGTTGTTGTTGGTTGACCTGAAGAAAAGAATGAAAAAAACGACGAATTTGATGTTTGCTGTTGTTGTTGTTGTTGTGGACCAAAATCTGCTTGTGTCGATTTATCCATCAAACAACAGCTATCAGTTTCGATAGCTTGATCACAAGTTGCTAATTTTTGACCAAATTCTTCAAGATTTTGATCCACCTCTAAATCAAATACTTTCGCTGCGTTTGTTGTTGTTGTTGTGGTTGTTGGTGAACGTGGTCTCGATGTTGGCCGTGATGTTTGCCTCGATACCGATCGTGAACCTGGTTGTGATGATGAAAAACTGAATTTAAATCTTCCATCAATTTGATCACGTAATTTTTGTAATTCTTCAACAAATTCTGTTTCATCAATATTGTTTTTATCATCATTAATATTGTTCTGATATTGTGAATCATTAAGAAATAATTTCAAACGGGAACGTGTAAAATTTTCATTTTCAAATGCTGAAAATCCAGATGTCAATGATGCAATGCTGATTTGATCATCAAAATCATTATCATTATTATTATCCCAATCGGTTTGTGTACCACGTGAAACTTTATTAATGAAAGATTTCACCAATGATTGTAGTGATTGTTGTGGTATAAAACGTCCAGTGCCGCCAACAGTAGTATTTGTACCGGATGGCACACGCCTCAATGAACCGGAAAGCATTGTTGGTGGTGTTGGTGATGTGGATCGTGATGATCCAGTCCATCCATATGGTGAACTGGATAGCTGTGCCAGCAACGATTGACTTGGACTACGGCTAACCAAATTGGAATTTGTACCGCCGGCTAATAAATCAGTTTCTTCTTGTGCCACGGCATAGTTTATTGGCAAATCTGGTGAATGGAATCAAAAAAAAAAAAAAAAAATTAGATTTAATAAAAAAAAATTGAAAATCAATCAAAATCGAACATTTAGCAAGAAATAGATTATTAACACTATTTGGCAATGATGATGACATGATAATAATGATTATTCATTTCAAATTTGTATTGCACATGATGTGGACAATATCACAAAAAAATAAGGCTCTACATGATCCATTTGAGAAATGATTGACAGATTTATATAATTTATTATTTTTTTTCAAATAAAAACAAAACAAAACATCACAATTTCCAGGTATTTGCATACATTTTGTAATTGTATAAATCTATTAATGTTAAAATGAAAATGCTAAACAAAAACAAGAAAAATATTGGAGCCAGTAAATTTTACGCAAGCGCATACTTTCAGAATCCAATCCAATTTTTTTTTATTTTTTATTATTTTGGAAACAAAACAAAAAAAATTTAGCGTTTACGCCCAAAAAAAAATTTTTTTTTGCAGTAAAAAAACCAATAAAACTTACTTGAACCACTTGCTCTTCGTCTTGTTGTTGTTTCCATCATTGTAATTATTTCTGATGATAATGATTCAGTTTTTGTTTGCTGAAATGATTCATCAATTTGAATTGATCGATTAATATTGATTGGTTTTGTTGTTGTTGTTGTTGTGGTTGTTTTTGAATCGATTGCATTTAAATTCGCTTCAATAGATGGCAGCGACGTTTTTGTTGACCAAAACGGTGTTGATAGTTCCGTTTTTAGTCTTAATATTGGTTCAAGAACTTTTGGTTTGTCCAGTTTGATAAAGAAAAGAAATTTTTTAACAAAAAAAAACAGAAAAAATTCAATTAACACCTTCTTGGCGTCTAGAAAGAGAAATACAAACACACAGAAAAAAATATCGAGATCTTTCAACGCTCTGTTGATCTTTATTTCAGCAAACAAACAAAAAAAAAATGACGCACACTGTGAACACTGTGAAGAGACTTGAAGATCAACACTCACACAGTATATAATAAAAGATTATGATTATTATGATGTTGATGACGACAAATGACGATCATGATGATGATGATGATTATTTTGAATTTTTTTTTCTTCTCATTTAAATATCAACAACAACAGCAACAACAACAACAACAGTTTATTATTTGCATAAAGATGCTGATGATATTTTGATGATGATTATCTTGATTTTCACTTTTTCATTAATTGAATGTGGATATCAATTCGTGTTAATTGTGAGTGGAAAGAAAAAAAAACCCAATGAAAAAAAAACGTACACACACACACACTGAAACACATCGAATGATACAAATTTGATAATGTCTTGATTTTTTTTTTTTTTTTTGTTTGAAACAAAACTCTGAATCCAAATGAAGAGCTTGAATGCTTTTTTTCTATGTTTCAATTCACTATTTGCTTGGCTTGGTATTCTGTACTTGTATGATCACATCATCCACAGAAATTGATTCCAGTTTGAATTTATGAATTTATTTTTTATTGAATAAAAAAAATTGCTGCCTGTTGAATGATTGATAGATTGTGTATGTGTGCCTGTTTTTTTTTCTGTTGTTTAAAAATATTCATCATCCTGAATGACAAACTTTTACGACTACCAAACATACACACACGAACAACACGGCAACATTAACACGCAAGGATTCGTTGTTCTATTTTTTTCCATCGTCGTCGTCGTGTTTGTGTGTGTGTGGTTGACATTTGAATTTTGATTGGGATTTTTTTTTAAAAATTAAGCTTTTTGATTTGTCATTTCTGGATATGAAATTTTCAAAAATTTTTCGCCTTGTCTCTCTCTCGTTCTACGAATGTCATCACTAGAATTAAATAAGTTTTTTTTTTATTCCCGTTTGATAAAACAGAAAATCTGCAGGAAAAAAAACGGAACAAATTGTAATCATCACCGTTGAATGATGATAAATAAAAATGACTTGTTTACACAAAAAAAACAAAACGTGATTGGGAAAACAAATGAAAAAAATGCCGATTTTTTTTGCTTCGTAATTGCCAATTGTCGGTTCATAAACTGTTTCATTGTCATCATCATCGATATTTATCCATAGATTTGAATGTCATCTCAGTGTTGTTTTTCTCATTTATTGAACACTAGATGACGCGCCACACACTTGTCATCGCCAACAACAACAAAATTATCGATTTGAAAAAATTTTTTTTGGCGCCCATTTCAATTTCTTCTGATTTAATTCCGCGAAATGTTTCCATTTCAATACCAAGGAAATTTTAATGAAATTTTGAAACTTTTTTTTTTTTCTCAAAATCGATTTCTGTTCCGATAAAAATCATTAAATGATGGATACAGTAATGAGAAAAATGAATGAAAGTGGTGGAAAAAAAATTCGACAGAAATTTTTTTTCATTTTTGTAATTTGATATTTGTCTATTCTTCGTTTTCTTTCCATTGTCAATGAGAAATTGTCAATAATATCTTTCAATGTGCCCTTGTCTCGTTGTCGTTGTCGTTGATAAAAAAAAATAATTCCCATTGTTCTGACCGAACATTTGTAATTTTGGCCAAAATACAACAACAAACTCGAACGATGAAAAAAAAAATTCTTATTCTTCCACCGATCTACATCATCATCATCAACATGGAGTGAATGATTATTAAAAAATCTCATTATATCATCGCACTACCTACACACTGTGAACTAGGGGCAGCCCGTTTTGTTCTGAAAAAAAATTCTGGCAACTGAATGTAAAAAAAAGAAGAAAAGTCAGACTGTTTTTTCCACTGTTTCTTGGCTCGAAAACTATGATTTGAAAAATACAATGATCTAACATCTTATGTCTATTATACACTTATGTAAATATACTGATGGCAAATATACTTCATATTACGAATATATGAAAAAAAAACTGTCAAAAAATTGAAAAATAAATTGATTGATAATTGATTTTTAATTTTATTCAATCAATAAATTAAGTAAATCACAAATCATGGAATAATGTGATAGTGAAACAGTCACGCATGATTTTCATTTTATTTCACAGATTCTATCAACAATATGCTATCTATAGATAAAAAAAACGGTTGCCAACTAGCGATTCTGAATTCTGTAGAGAAAGAGAGAAACCGAAAAAAAGTACCACTGCTGGCAATCCAATGAGATTCCAAGCCTATTTTTTGCGAAATAAAAAAGAAGCAGAGGCACACACACACAAACAGTGAATATTCTTTAAATTCTCTACACGAAACAAACGACCTTAACTTAACATTTGGTTCATCATTTAGTTGATCTAATGTTTGTGTGTGTATAATAGGTCTATTTGGTCTAATTTGGCGTGTTGGTAGCACTAACTTGCCCACATACACATAAACAGACATACACACCCATTGAACATGCGTTTATATGGTAGACAAGAATAAGAAAAAATTATATAAAAACCAAAATCAAGACTATTAAGATTTATCACATTCAATTTGTCCGTTGTCAACCGTGTATGCCTGTGTGCCTGTGTGTCAATTTAAATTCATTTTTTGTCAATTTTTTTTTTCATTTGTTGAGAATTTAAAATTTAAAACTTCAAAAATGGTTGATCAAGCTGTCATCGATAAATTGGAAGCTGGCTTTCAAAAATTACAATCATCAGCTGAATGTCATTCATTGTTGAAAAAATATTTGACACGTAATGTATTGGATGCATGTAAAGGTCGTAAAACCGGCATGGGTGCAACATTGGTCGATGTTGTTCAATCAGGTAAATTAATTAATTACCCGATGAAATGAATCGCAATTTTATAATGTTAATGTGGCTGATTGACCGACACTACTGCAAAATAAAATATGACACATCCAATCTAACGAATGAAGGTGACCTTTTGTCATCATCATCGTGTTCATCATCATCATTTTTTTCTTCATAGAAAGACAAAAAAAAATCTAACAGTCGATAAATCAATATATTTGCGGTAGCAGTATTTTGTTTTTTTTGTTTTCATTGGAAACAAAAAAAAAAAAAATTTTTCTCTCTCACTTAATGATTGTTAATCACGCAAATAATGAACATGTTAATTTTTTTTTCGACCCCACTGCTAATTGTGTGCAATGTCAATCACAATCAATAATCTAAAAAAAATTCAAATTTGATTCACTAGTAGTAGTAGTAGTAGTAGTAGCAATTTTAAAAATTTCGATGAATGAAAATCGATTATGTTTAAACTGTATCATCAATCGATGCGATTGCGCAGAATTTTTTATCCCGATTTATGATGCTAAAAATAATCCACTTTCGTTTCGTTTTATTTATTACTGTTTTGGCGCTGTGTGATAGGTTTCGAAAATTTAGACAGTGGTGTTGGACTCTATGCACCGGATGCTGAATCGTATACTTTATTCAAAGAATTATTCGATCCAGTCATTGAAGATTATCATAAAGGTTTCAAACCAACGGATAAACATCCACAAACAGATTTTGGTGATGTTAACACTTTGTGTAATGTGGATCCAAATAATGAATTTGTCATTTCAACACGTGTACGTTGTGGCCGATCATTGCAAGGTTATCCATTTAATCCATGCTTGACCGAAGCTGTAAGTTAATTGATTGATTGATTAAATTGTTGATGATGACAATTCACTGTTCTGTTTATTCTGTAGCAATACAAAGAAATGGAAGAAAAAGTTAAAGGCCAATTGAATAGCTTTGAAGGTGAATTAAAAGGAACGTATTATCCATTATTGGGAATGGATAAAGCAACACAACAACAATTGATCGATGATCATTTCTTGTTCAAGGAAGGTGATCGATTCTTACAGGCTGCAAATGCATGTCGTTTCTGGCCAGTTGGTCGTGGTATTTTCCACAATGATAATAAAACATTTTTGATCTGGGTCAATGAAGAAGGTATGAAACAAAAAATCTGAACTAAATTGAATGACTGATTTCATTTCATTTTTTTTAGATCATTTGCGTATTATTTCAATGCAAAAAGGTGGTGATTTGAAACAGGTGTTCAGCCGATTGATTAATGTAAGTGAAAATTGAATTTTTTTTGTGAATCTCATTACACTGGGTTTTAATCATGAATAATATTTTTTTCATTTAGGGCGTCAATCATATTGAAAAGAAATTGCCATTCTCAAGAGATGATCGTCTTGGTTTTCTTACATTTTGTCCAACTAATTTGGGTACCACTATTCGTGCATCGGTACATATTAAATTGCCAAAATTGGCTGCTGATCGCAAAAAATTGGAAGAAGTTGCCGGTAAATATAATCTACAAGTACGTGGTACTGCCGGTGAACACACCGAAAGTGTTGGCGGTGTTTACGATATCAGTAATAAACGTCGTATGGGTCTTACTGAATATCAGGCCGTCAAAGAGATGCAAGATGGTATTCTTGAATTGATTAAAATTGAAAAATCTATGTAAATCCAATCAAGAAAAATGGCAAAATTTCACCAGAATTTAAATCAACAAGAAAAAATTCGAATATTTAAAATTTTAAAACTGGATGAGATTTCATAGCCACACCAAAAAAATTCGAGTCACACACACCAAACATTGGCATATATTTTTCCTCACAATTTTACCAAAAAAAAAAAAATTCAAGCAAAAATTATTTTAGCAAGTTTTTTTTGTCTGTTGTTTAAACTGCCAAAAATCAATGTAATGGATTAATTTGAATTAAAAAAATAAAAAGTTATGAAAAGAAAAAAAATGATAAATTCTCAGACATCAAAGGGTTAAAAATATTTTTTTTTAATAAAACTGAGTCCAAAACAACGACGACGGCAACAAAAAATATTAAATTAAAAGATGAATTATGCTGTTAACGTCATCAATTTTTTTCACCATTTGTTTGTCACCGATGGTTTTCTATAAATAAAATGTTTTTTCACATTCAAACATTTTATTATTCACTTGGAGATAATAAAATTAAAAAAAATGATGATGATGATAATTGATCTAGTGCAGAGATGAAAGATTTTGTTGTGTTGCCAAAAAAAAAATTTCTTTTTTTTCTTAATTTCTTCCTGCATCTCTCAATTTACAATACATATGGCAAATCATCATCTTCAAGGCTTCAGAAATTTTGAAATTGAATTTTTTTGAATTCATTTGATCAGTTTTCATCATCATCATTATTCTGGATCCATAAAGTATCAAAAACAATGGCCATAATGTAAAATCAAGAATGCACATGTAATGGCTAATGGATAATAATAATAATAAAATTCTGTTCCACATTCTTTCTCAGGGCGTCATCATTCAATGTTATCGTCATTATCATTATTATCATGCTTACCATTAAAAAAAAAAGAATTGTATCATCGTCATCATCATCATCATCATGAACACAATTCTTTCGTGTTTGTCTTTGGAAGCTAATCTATTATTAGTGACATTTTGAGCTAGAATTTCACTGGTTTACAAACCTACATTCAGAGAGGCAAAGGGGAGAACAACAAAAAAAAATGCAAGAAAACAGCATTTTCGTCACATAACTGGGAACTTTTGTTTTGTTACGGACGAAAGAAAGCTTTTTTTGCGGTTTTGTTTTTTTATTATTATTCTAGCAAATGATCAACAGTTGATAATTCTTTGATCAATGGCGGCTGGTATGTATTATATTGATTTGTTTGTTTCACCGTATTAAAAATCACATCATCATTTTGTAATTTAATAACCGTAGCAAATACAACGATGATTCGTGTACCATATGCAATTAATTGTAGCCTATGTGGCTGTAATGGTGCTTCCGTACGATGTTCAAAATGTAATTCAATGGCATTCTGTATTGGTTGTGATGATATGTATCATAGACATCCAAAACGACGTACCCATCTACGACAAGCTGTTGCATTGGAATATGTATGATTTGAATTTTTTTGTGCCACGAAAATTTTTAAAAATTTTTTTTTCTCTGCAGATACAATTATTGGAAAAATCAAAACAACAAGAACAAAAATCATTGCCACAACCACCACAACAACAATCGATGAATAAATGTGAAACAACAAATTCTCTATATCCATGGCGTATAACACGAACGTTACCACGAAATCCGGATAGTCTTTGGGAAGATTATGGTAATGGTCATCCATCCAAAATGCCAATACCACCACCAAGACGAAAGAAGAAAAATTTATTCATTTCCGGTATAAAAGATACGCTTAGAAAATGGGTAAATCAACCTGTTCAATCAACATGTGAACAACAACAACAACATCTCATAATTATCAGCCAAATGGACATCGAATGTCCACACCGAATTCATCATCATCATCATCATCATCAGCATTTCGTCCATTACCACAAACACCGGCTACTGATGAATTGTATGCAAATATGCGTAAACATTCATTACAACCACAGCAAAAGCAACAGCAACAGCAGCAGCCACCTGTAAATATTCGAATGTTGAAAACTCGACAATTTGCAACGACAAGTACAATTGATCTATCGAATAGTGGTAATGGTCATAATCATCATGTGGAAAAACTAACAAAAAGATCAAGTTTACCACGTAAAAATTTTTCATATCAAGATTTAGAATTTTTTGGTGGAGAAAATCAACAACAAGAAAGTTCCATATTCTCGTGTAATCATCATCATCACCATAGCCATCATGGTGGTTCAACACAATCATTGTATCCGAGTTGTCCGATGAATCATTGTTCTCCATCATCAATTCAATGTAATCATTGTTCTTATCATCAGCCAAATCTCTGTTACGGTTGTAACAGCTGTTGTAATCATCGATGGTCCACAAATTCAATGGAAGAATTGCGAAGAAATTCCAATCATCATGACGTCGACGACGACAACGACGACGATGGTGATTTTGAAACAGATGATGAAGATGATATGATGATAATGAGAATGGTTAATAATGATGATGGTCGTTTATCATCGATTGGATTAAGTCGTGAAACTAAAAATCGTATACGAAGAGCTCGGATGAAACGTTCACAATCAACATATACTATGTATGGTGTTGGTAATCATAATTATGACGATGATGAACAACAACAACAACAATTTCCAACAGATTTGCGGCATAATAAAATTGGTTATTCAAATCGTTCGCCATCGATAATACGGGCCAATAAATTTCCTACATCATCATCGCCAACACCATCATTGAAATCAGTTAAAAGTTTTTCTGATCGTTATCGTTATTCGGATTCAATTTCCGATTCAAGTTCAAGTTCACAATCTAGAAATAAAGTGAATCCAATTGCCAAAACAAATATTGATGCTAAAATCTCACCAAATGATGATGAAGAAGAAGAATTGGTCACTGAATCTGGACAATGGTCATGTCGATTCTGTACATTCGTAAATGATTCTGGCCGTAATGTTTGTGAAATTTGTTGTAAAACAAGAATATCTTCAAATTCCGAACAAATTCATTCGAATAAACAAAAAGTATCATTAGTGATGAATGAAAAAACAACCAACTCATCAACAACAGAAACGGAAATTCAGAAACAACGTGATCATCAGCAGCCACCACCACCACCACCAACAAAAACCCAGGAACAAGAAATCATTTTTGATGAATCATTTGTACGTGAACAAATTGAAATTGAAAAAGAATTACAGAAACGAAAAGAAAATGAATTAAAAGTGGTCGAAGAAAATAAAAAATTGGAAATAAATGATCAAGATTTATCTGCAAGTAAAAAATCGAATGAAAAAGAATCGACAAACACGAATCAATCAATAGCAGCTGATGATAACGAATGTAAAGAATTAGATAATCATGAAAAAATAGTGGCAAAAATGATTGAAGAAAAAATTTCCGAACAATTTGGTAAATTGAAATTAACGCCACCGGCAGCCACTGTACCAGTGGATAATAATCAAAATGTTACACCAATCAATAATTCGACGACTACGATGGCGATGATGAACGTACCGATTTCAAATGCAAATCCGTGCACTGCATCGATGATGATACCACCAAATTTTAGTCAAAATAATTCAATACAGAATAATCCACAACAATTTTATCCATTGAATAATCAATGGTCAAATAATTCGACACCATTACCGAATTTCAATATGAACAATGGTGGTGGTTTCATTCATCCGAGAACACCATCATCAAGTAGTAGTAATTCAACGGCCAGTATGTTTGGCTATAATGGCTTGAATAATTATCCTCAACCGATAATCAATCCAATGATGGTGATGGATCATCCTCAATCATCTTTCAATCATCATCAACAGGTATCTAATGATAATTGGTTTTCCAATTTTAAATTCTTTTTGTTTCACATTCTATATAGAATCCAGATTCATGTTCACAAATCAGTATGAATCGATTTTCAAGTTTCGACGATCTACAATCACTTAGTAGCGTGACAAGTTCGTCATTATTTTATCCGGATTCAAATTTATGTTGCACTACCCAACAAAAACAACAGCAACATAAATCAATGATTAATTCTAGTAGACAAATGATACAAACACTTCGTGAAGCAGAGAAAAAAGGCTATACAGCCGATGATCTTGAAGCAGCCATACAATTTTCTCCAGTTTCACCATTGGAATGGTTGGAAAAAAATTGGAAAAATCTCTGTGAAACCGTAATGACAATGTCAAATAATCAGATTGTCGAATTAGAACGTACGAATGGAAATAAGATGCCGAATTTCATAATGATAACTGAAAAAGATGCTAAAACTGCATTGCGTTTATGTAAAGGAAATTTATGGCAATCGATAGAGAAATGTGTTCAAAGACATCGAGAGAATAAATTGTTTAATAATGACACCGCCAACAACAACAATGTTATCAATAAAAATCTACCATCGAAAAGTGAATTTTTTGCAATGAAAGTAACAGGATTAGGATCTGGTCGAGCAAATAATGATGCAAATCATGTGCTGATTGATAATGAAGATAATGATGATGGAAATGAATTTCAAAAATCATTTGCCAATGAAACGCAAGAATTTAATTATTCAGAACATTCAAAATTACCAATGGAAGAATTTCTTGCATCACAAGAATCAATGATGGATAGAAATGAATTATTAGATTTTTATCTACAAAATATTAAAAATTCAAAAAATCTGGATTATAATGAACTTGAAACATTGATAATGAATTGGCAACAGGAAAAAGCATCGTTTGATCGTGAACGTCAACAGTCCAGGATAAGGGAAAAAGAACGTGAAAAAATGCAGAAAATAATTGATGTACAAAAACGTATAAGTGGTGGTAGTGGTGGTGGTTATTTATCCGATGGTACCACCACTGAAGAAGAATTGGATAGAGAAGTTGCACGTGTTTTTCAGAATCGACGACTATCACAATCTATGATGGAAACAATTGATTCAGATCGTACACCAACATTTACACAAGAAATGGATCTATTTACAATGTCTTCACCGGGAACAAGTGGAACTCAAAATATTCGGCCACAATCACAGATAAAACAAAGAATTGAATCAAAATTGAATGAATTTGCAGCAAAACATTCTGGAACAGCAACAACATTATCTAGTCGAACAAATAGCATTATTTCAACGAATGATGATGAAAATATTACGACGCCTATTCAACAGCTTCAGCAACAAGTTGAATTGTCACCCATTTCAATTTCGGATAATTCTGATGAAAATTTCATTGATGCCGTCGCAGAAATTGTTGAATCATCAACATCACCTTCATCATCGGCTAAATCTACGGAAAAAATCGTCAACACACCAAAACCGTTGAAAGCACAGATTGTTGTGGACGAAATTTTCAATTTTATGGCTAAAACACAACAATTATCTAATGTTTGTGAAAAACACCAGACTGGAATAGCTGTCGTTAAAATAGCACCAGCCAAAGCTTTGGATCAAATTATTACCACTAATCAAAATGATTTGAAAATCATATCCAGTGTCAAACACACCAATGCCTGTGTGCCAATGTCAACAGGTGAACCAATGGTTATAAAACCACCACCACCAGTAACGAAATCGAATCCGGTTGAAACCACGACGTCATCATTATCGATAAAGGTAATTGTATTTTTGGATTTTGGATTTTTTAGAGTTTAATTGTCTATAGTTGTTATTGCTGTTTTGATTGAAACGCATAGGAACAATTAAAAATAAAAAAGATTAGATTATCGTCATCAAAATCTCTGAGCTTGACGGAATTATCATCATCATCATCATCATCATTCACTATGGATAATCAAGAAAACGCCAATTGTATACCACACGAGCCTGTATTTAGTAAATGTCGTGGTTGTGATAAACTGCAACGTGCATATCTAATGATGAATTCGGAAACAAATTTATCTAGATTAATTTATGATGATGATGTTAATGAACAAAACAAACACCAGCAGCAACAGAATCAAACAAAACGTATTAAAATTAAATTAACACCAAAACAGCGGCAACAAATCAAAGAAGAAATGACGAAAAATGTGTTTAAATTACATAAATCTGAGAGTATTGAATCATATCTAGCAGCTAATAATAATTATGATGATGACGAGAAACTAAGAAAAGAAGGTGCAAGGAAATTTCTTGTTAAAAAATTGCAAAAATCAATAGAATCATTGAATTCAAAGACAATAAAAATGAATAATGATGATGATGATGATGATAATCTCATTGTTAGCTTTCGATTTTCATTGATTGATTGTTGAATAAATTCATAAAAAACAATTCACCATTGTTGATTGATTTTTTATTGATTAATTTGTTTAGCAACCAATAACGGGACCATCATCGTCATTGTCCTTGATTGGAAAATCACCAGTAGATGATCAATATTCCTATGAATTTCAATGGGCACGAACCGAATTGGAATGTGAATTATGTACGACAATTATGCCGATACAGGATATTGTCGTTATGATTGCTTGTACACATTATGCATGTCGTGATTGTATGAAAAATTATCTTACCATTCAGATACGTGAACGGCAACGTTTAGTTATTACCTGTCCATTTTGTAATGAACCAGATATTAGTGCCGATCAAGATGAACAAGTTTTTGAATATCTTGCCATATTTGATCCATTCATAAGGCATATAATTGATGCTGATATTTATGAATTATTTCAACGTAAAATGCGTGATCGTGCCCTAATGCGTGATCCAAATTTTATGTGGTGCGTAAAGGTATGTATGCATGCATAATGATTGAAAGATTTGAATATTTGACACTTGATTAATTCATATTTACATCACCAGTGTTCATCAGGTTTTATTGTACCGAATCCAAAAGCATTGACAGTAATCTGTCCAGATTGTCGTAATGCATTCTGTCGTCAATGTAAAAAACAATGGAAAAATCAACATCTAAATCTATCGTGTGAACAATTTGCACGATGGGAAAACGAACATGATATTGATTATGCTGAACAATTGTTGAATAAACATCTGGAAGAATTTGGAATCGGTTTGCTTCATTTCACATATATTTGTCCTGTTGATAATCATTTCATTTTTTCCAATTATAATCCATCTAGAATGTCCAAATTGTCATTTTCGTTATCAATTGGCCAAAGGTGGCTGTATGCATTTTCGTTGTACCCAATGTTCATTTGATTTTTGCGGTGGCTGTTATCGTCCATTTAAATTGGGTAGTGTAAGTGAAAATTTTTCCTGTTTTTTAAAATTAAAAATTCTTTTTCTTCAAATGTTTTTATAGAGATGTTTTCGTGCTAAACTATGTGAACGGCTTGGCCTTCATGCACATCATCCAAGAAATTGTCTATTCTATCTTCGTGATAAAGATATTGGCGATCTACAAAAATTACTTGATGTATGAGTCTGTGTGTGTGGGGGAAAATATGATTTTCATTAATTAATTAATTGAAATTGATAGCAAAATAACATTGAATACAAGACCAATGATGGTGATGTCGACCATGGTGCTAATAATAATAATAATAATAATAAAACGACAACTATGACAATTTCAATATCACGATGTCAAGTAATGGAACAGAAAGAGGTGAATTTTGTTATGAAAGATAAACCATGTAATCGTTTTGTTGAAATGGCTGGCCTTTGCAAGTGAGTTTTTTTTTCTTTGCTGAATTTGTTGATTTATTTCCAGAAAAAAAATTAATTTAAATTTTTTTTTATTCTCACTAATCAAGATTACACTATAAAGAATATCTTGGAAATTTAATCTATCGTAATCAAATTGATCCGATTCCAATTCTAACTGAAAGTGAATTAGAATTAACATTGAAAAGAGAAAATATTCGTATTCCATCAAAAATTCGTGGCGAAGATTACATTGAAAAATTGAAAGAGGTTTGGTTTTTTTTAATTGATTTGCTAAAAATAATGTAATTTTTTATTTATATTTTTCTCTCACATGATAGTTGATCCGGGAAAAAATTCCATTAGAATCGAAATAGCGATCAATTTTTTGTTAAAAGATTAATACACGATAAAACATTAATGAAATAATTAAAACCAAAATGGTTGAATAACTAATAATTGGATAATTGATTGTAAATGCTGATGAAACGATGCTTTCCACATTATTCGATGGTTCATGTTGTGGTTCTTCTACATCTGATGAATTTTCATTTCCTTGATCTTCCGACGGATTTTCATTGCCATTACCACCACCACCACCACTATCACTACCGTTATCATCTCCATTTTCGACACCTTCAACACCACCATCATCACCGCTTTCTCCTTCATTATCTTCCTCCTGTGATGAATAAAAATATGCATACAAAATTGGATTGATGTAAAAAACAAATTCACTGCATATCAATCATACATACGCCTTCAGTAGCAGCACCACCAACAGTTATGCCTAATGGAATTTTATCCGAATCAATATGAAGCCAAAAATGTTTTGCATCAATAGCGACAGTAGATAGAAATAAAATTTCATTGTTCATTGTTGAATCAGCTGGAAACCAAAATGCAGATACACGTTTTTTTGGACTACTATTCGAATGTGTCCATGTATTCTTGTATTATTATTCACAAATCAAAATGAGAGAGAAAAAAAAATACGAATGATTGATTCTTTGATGATAAAATGATTCTGTACTTACATTTCCTTCCATATTATTTTCATTACAAGTAAATGAACGTGTTTGATTTGAATCTATTGGTACGAATGTACCGTCGGCAATCATTTCTGGATTATTAGCCATACGTGCTTGAACAATAAAACCACGAAATACTTGATGATCATTATGGGAATGAATTTCCACATGAATGAATTCTTCTTCATTCATATATGGATAAAGGGTAACATTGAATAGAAATGGATTCGTTGATTTTGGCTGCGATTGAATATTGTTTCCATGTCTTGGTTTCAACGTTATACATGATTCAATTGGTGCACCATTACGACGACCATTTACAAATAACGAATCATTATTTGAGAATAGGATTATTAAACATATCAAAGCACACATAAGCGGTATTACACGATGATAAAACATGATTCTAGATATATCGATATTTCAAAATGAACCAAAAAAAATCAGATAAATCGTTGTCAATGAAAGCCCGCCATCCATCTACTATAGTGAAACTAATCTGAATATATGAAAATGAAGCACAATTTATTTGTTGTTTTTTCATGAATCACCAAAAAAATCATTTGTCATTGGCCGTCATAGATTATAAACAAGCAAAACGTTTATTTATTTATTTATTTTTTTTTACTAATTAGACATCAACGTTTCCTTTTCTTTTGATTTTTCGTTTGTTTCAACAACAACAAAAGCGAAAATTTCAATGTTTAAAAAAAACATTCAAAATGATTATTTTCATTATTGCAAGGAAATAATCAATATTTGTACTGTTGTTGTTTGTTTTTTTTTCAGACTTTATATATTTCAAATTTCAAAGGAAACGACCAATACAATATTCTGATAACAATATATATGTATTTATTTTTTTCTACAGATGATAATTTTAGATTTGAGAAATTGTGGAAAAAATTGCTTATTGCTTTGGCTTAATTATGATCATTTTGAACAATGAATGAACAATAATTATTATATTGTTGTTGTATTTGAATCAAATGATACAATTTTTTCATTAATCCAAAAACAAAATAAAGTTTATTTATTTCAGAATGTATAGATTAAACATATATGTGTGAATTATTATTCAATTAATACAATTGTTAATCATTGAATTATCGATTATAAAAATGAATGATATGATGATGTGGATATATATGATATGAATTGAAATATTGATTAAATATTCGATAAATTTTCGATGCTGTGTTTACAAGGTGGCAAAACCACGTTCAAATTCTTCGTAGATATCTACTGGTGGAATTAAATCCATTTTCATACTTTCCCGTATAGTGGCAAACTCTTTACAGCAAGCTTCAATCTGCTGGACGAATACTTTCCAATTGTCCTCAGTCTGCATAGCTTTCAATTTTCGCCAGAAATTCCATCGTCTTGTTTCCAAAATGTAATTACTAAACATACTAGACGATACGTAATTAATGGCATGTCTCATTGCCTGACGCTTTTCTTTCTGTCCCATAACTTTGAAAATAATATTGAACGAAGCCAATCGAGCACATTCACCTAGGTAATGGAACTCGGATGGAATCAGGGATGATACAGCAATACAATGGAAAGGAGATGGTATGTTGGCATTGATATCTTCTGTATCATGCTGCATAGACATACACCAAACTTCGGGTATCAAAAGCATAGCAAGATTAGCCGTGAACAAAATACGATTGTTTCTATCATTCCAAGAAATGACCAGTTTTGAAGTTACCTCATGTACAAGTTTTCGGCCCTCTTCTGACATTTTAGCCATGAATTTATGGAATATTGTGCCTCGCGTCGCCACCAGCGCTGCAGCGGTACCCACCGCTTTAAAATAATTTGGCAATTTTTCGAAATCTATGCGTTGCAATTTAATAGGATCATCATTGTAAAGGAGAGGATAAAAAGCAACGTCCGAATCCTCATCTTCAAGGAAGTCTTTAGCTGTCTCTTCAAGGAGCGAACAAAGCTCATATCGATTACCCATAAGCCAATCCGATAGGCATTCTGATACAAAACCAAGATTGTTTGGGTCAATTCCAATGGCGAATTTAGTGTAAAAATCATAAGTTTCATCAATAGAACTAGAGCCAGAGCTTTCACTTTTTTCACTGCCTTTGGCCTGAGTGGCTTGCTCAGCTTGTTTTCGATCGTTTGGTTGAGACATCATAAGAAAATGCACAAATTTTTTTCTTTATGAAATATAGATCAATCAACTTTGACAAATTGAATGTGGATGTAAATGAAAAAAGCACGACACTTGAAGGTTTAGTAATTGAAAAATAATAATAAAAAATGTGACGTGTAATGAGCAAGATTTTGTCGGTGATGTAATCACATCAAACAGTGGGGAAGAGTTTTTATACCTTTGGACAGTGCTTTTTCGAGAATGTTCTCAGCGACGTTCACAATATATGTTATGATGATGATGATGTTGATTCAGAAAAACAATGAAAATTTTTTTTTATTTAGAGGGAAATGACATTTTTAATCAGATTAAATGGATAAAAATAATAAATTGTAACAATCAATCAATCAATCAATCAATGATGATGCAATCACGATTGATCGATTGATAAATCATCAATACAAAACATATCGATAGATCAATATAGATTGTGTCATTGAAATAATTGTACGATGCCATCCAACGATTTGGGTTTTGTTTCCATGGTGAAAAAAGAAGATTTGACATATAAATTTCTGATAAAGAAAAAAATCTTTGTTTTAAATCGTATGCAATTAAACAAAATTGATGAGTATAAATTTTATTTAATCGCCTACGATTATTGATGGAATGATCATCTGTGATTTTTTGTTTTGTTTTGTTTTCGTTTCGAAAGAATTTTTAAAATTTCAAAATGTCTCGAAGTCGTGCTTTGAGTTTATCTTCCATTATAAGTGGTTCTGGTGGTGGTCATGATATGATCACCATCGAATCGAATCATATTGGCGTTCGTAATGCACAACATCTTACGATTGCTGGTGGATTCTTGGATTTTGCACTATTTGTGGCCGATGTTGAACATTTAAAATATTTACTGGATGTTGGTTCAGATCATGTTAAATATTATATATTATTAATCATTTTGCTTTGTGCTTCATTAATTTTACAGGTAAATTTTTGTTTTATTGAATTGAAAACAAATTTGTTAATTTCCATTTCCAGTTAGTCGTAGTATTTCTCATGTTTATCGTTGGCTTTAAGAATAATAAACCACGAGCAACATATCAACGTTCGTTTAAGAAATCCAATAATGATAAAACGGGTGAAGAATTATCATCGAACCAAAATGGACAACAACCATCATCATCATCGACATCGATAAGTGTACCGTTTAATGAGAATCAAATGGTTTCCATTAATGACAAGGAAAAAGTCGATACCATTAATCATTTGACAATATGTTTGGTTACAATAATTGCAATATTGAATGTATTCATCACTGTGTTTGGTGATCGATCATCAATCAATTTTGAACATATGAAACATTTATCCAATCATACTGATAATATATCGATTTAATTTTTCATAATCTATTTTATTAAAAATACCAATTTTGTTTCATTAATTAATAAATAAAATTCAATTACAAACGGCATTCATTATGCACATACAATATATTGAAGTGTATCCGAACGATTCGAATGATAATGACAAATCATTCGTGGACAAATAATGCAAACAAAATCCAGAAATTGTCGCATTTCATTTGCAATGGCGAATTGAATTCGATATCGATCATGATTTTTTGATTTTGACGATGATCGTTTTGATCTATCAATGGTAATTATTGAACGATTCGTTTCGACATGAATCCCATTGATTTCTTGCCATCCACATTGGCCAATAAATGTTGGTGATTGTTCTGTACATAATAATTCGAAATGATCACGAAATAAATACATTTTCATACGAGTATTCTGCACCATTGATGGTTGTAGAACGTTGACGTTGAACCAGACCATTTTTGTATTGCTGAATTAATCGAGGAAAAAAAGCTTTGTTTATGATGGGATTAAATAGTAAACAAAAAATCCTCGTCAATAATCATCATGGTCAAATTTTTTTTTTTCATATTTCAATTTGAAAATTTGTTGCTTTCGAAATTCCGTCATAAATGACGTTACGCAATTTCTTGAGAAAAACAGTGTTTTTTGTTTGTTTTTGTGTTTTTATCATAATTTGACAATTGCTTTATTTATCATCATCATTATCATAAAAAACAATGGAAAATGAGACAATGATGAACACTGGCAATCAATCTGAGAAAGGCTTAATTATTGACAATGAGGATGATGGCGAAATATCTGAGAAAATGCCGTCATCTGATTCAAATCAATCATCAAAACAAATAGCAGAAAAAGATGAGCCACCGAATAAACGAACTAAACAGGATCGATGGATATATTCTACAATCGATGATGGTGGTAATAATGATGGATTTGAAACCCAACTGAAACCAGATAAAAAAGACGATGATAATCAAAGTCTTGATGAAGGTGAAATTGTCGACGATGATGATGACGAAGTTTGTTTAAAAAATCAATCAAATTCTACTTCAAAATTACCAATTGATGATGATGACGATGATAAATTCGAAGAAGGTGAATGTAATGATCAACTAATCAAAAATAGCAACGATAATGATATTGGTAAACAAAAAGACCAAGCTGATGAAATTGCATCAAATTATAGTGATTGGAGTGAAAGTGAAGATGATCTACTTAAAGCTGATAATACACAACAGGAATCGAAAATCGATACGATTCAAAAAGTTGACAAAACGACTCTATCGGTTAAAGGTAAGCGAAAAAGGGATTTTTTTACAAAATTTTAAAATTTTTCCAATTTCTAAAAGGCAACAATGATCTTGAAGCAATAAGCGATGATGATATCGATACGATTGCCGATGATATTTCGAACAACAATAAGACGGGTGCAAATGTAGAAAAATTATTACAACAAAAAGAAAGCAATGAAATTGTGGAAAAAGATTCAGAAGAAATTAGCATTCTGGATATATTGAAAATTGATTGGAAAAGTTTGATCGTTGAAAATGAAACAAATATTGTCAATAATGAAACAACAAATGATGATGACTTGAATCCAGCTGATATCAAATCGACTTTGAACAAAGATGAAAAAGAAACGAAAAAACAACGTAGTGAAAAATTTCGACAAAAAAATTCAACAATCGCCATGCTGAATCGTATTGGATTCAGTCAAAAATTTGCTGGTCCAGATGTGACCGCAAAAATCAATGATTATCTAGCACGTGAATTAGGTGCTGAAACTTATCGTCCAATGTTACATCCAGTACCTGCATTACATTCATTTTATCTATCCAAACAACAACACAATGATCATGATAAAGATCATTCCATCATGTAAATTATCTTTCCTTTTTTTATAAATACAAAAAATGTACATTTTCTAAACGATGGACATTAACAATCATCAAACACAACAACAGAAAAGAAAATAATATAAATTGATTTAAATCTGACCATTGAATGAAAAAAGATAAATGAATTCAGATTAATACACACAGAAAGAAAAAAAAACTCTTTCATTTTTTGAATTTCTAACATAACAGCCATCTCAATAATGGATAATTATCGAATGTGAAAAAGAATCAAATGAATCTGTTGTTTTTGTTGCCAAGGAGCTATCATTATTGTTGTTGTTGTCATTCATCAATACTTGTTGACCATTGGTATTTTTTTTTTTTTTACAGATGAAGTATTTTTGAAGGACAATTTGTCAGTGATTGTGTTTTGATTTTGATTTCATGCGCCCATGAAAACCTGTTGGAATTATAAAATAAAAAAAAGAGAAATGAAAATGATAAATGGATGATAATCTAATTCAACGATGTTGATAAAACTTTTGTTTTGATAGACACAAAATCATTTCATCGTCGTCGTGTGTGCTGTTGTTTCAAATGTCCATCGCGTAGTTGTCGATTGGATTGATTGATTTTTTTGTTCGTTGGCAAAAGAAAAATGTTACGCTGTAATCCATTGTTTGTCATAATTTTATTTATTATTGTTGTTGTTATTTCATTGCCTACTGAAGCAACATATCATTATGGAATCGGTAGCTCATATTATTATTCTGGTCCAAAAATTCCATTATTTCCGGCAACATATTGTCCACCTATTATAGCCCCCACTATACCGACTACTACTAATTATTATCAGCTAATACCGACTGTTTATCGTCCTTATGTTCCAGTAGTATATACATCACCATTACCAATATGGTATTCATCGTGGCCACATTCATCATATTTTTGGAAAATTCGTTCACAAAATGGAACAAATACAACGGATTATATTTATAAATCAAAATGGTATTCACCATTTTGGAAATATCAGGGTTCCATTCAACATTTTCCATTATCCAATGAAACCAAAAATGCTGATGATGATTCTTCTTCTTCTTCTTCTTCTTCTTCAGCAGTGGAAAAAGAATCCGAACCGATAATGATGATGAAAGAAAATGAAACCGAACAGCTGGAAAGAGAATCAGAACCAATGAATGAAAATAAAATGGAAATGAAAAATGAAAAATTGAAGAAGAAAAAATCACAGAAAAAAAGAAAAACAACAAAAAAACAAAAAAACGTGATGTTATAGTTGAACCAACAACAACAACACGGTCATCGATTAATAAACGAAAACGTTCAAATTGAATGAAAGAAAAATTTCTGCAGTGAAAAAAATTGCGCCGTTTAAAATTGACAAAAAAAATGACCACCAGATCACCAGATAAATAGTAGCAGCAGCAGCAGTAAAAAAATTTTTGTTTACATCAATCAATATTTTTTTTTTTTGAGAGAAAAAAAATCATAATCATCGTAATTTAATAAAATAAAAATCTTTTTTAGATCATTTGTATTCGTAATAATATTTTTTTTTTTAATATCGATAATCGATAACAAGAAATTAAACTTCAATAACTGCACTATTATTGATTGTTGTCGTTGTCGTCGTCGTTGGAGCCATAGTTGGTTGATTAACATTCGATAATAAATTATCGAATCGAAGTTTTAATTCATCAAATTTTCGACAAACCGATGATATACGTCCCTGTAATTCATTCGGTATATCAACATTCAATCCATTACGTAGACGATCTTGTAATTCTATAAATGGTATTTCTTCAATTAATAATCGTTGATGTAATGATACAATTTGTTGTTGATCATCATTAGAGAATAAATGTGGACAAAATTGATGTTTCCGATGGAACCATTCCATTTTACCGGTAATCATACGTAGACAATCAGTAGCATCAGCGATAGATGCTTCAGCATCCTGATGATGTATTGAACATTTATGATATTGTATAATATCAGATATTGATATATTTCTTGTTAATAATCTTGATGGTTCCATTGATACCGATAATTCATCTATCGGACTTGATGTTGTGTTTGTTGTATTCAATTCATCGGATGGACTTGAATCATCATATGTTTGATGAACAAAATGAGCCATGATATTATATGATCAGAACGAATTCGAATTCAATTCAAACATTCAATGTGTATGACGATGAGTTGGCAAACGAGAAACACAATAATTTTGAACTTTTTTTACATGTAGATATTATCTGTTTTAAAGAAATGATGGAAAAAAAAGAATGAAAAACATTGAAAAACAATTAACAACAACAACAACAAAAAAAACAAGTCATCAGACAAAAAAGAGATAATAATGAGAAAAAAATCGTTGCCAAGTTTGTCATAGAGCGAAAGAAAAAACTCAAGTGAAAATTGGTGAAAAGAATTTTTTTGTTTACCCGAGGAGAGGGAAAGAAAAAAATTCTGAATTAATTCAGTTATATTATCCGGTGTAAAGGTTGTGTATATCACGTCGTCGTTGTCAAATTACAACAATTCATATACGGAATGAGTTGAACATTTTTCATTCGAAAACACCATCATATGGATATATATCAATTATTTTCGAATGTTTTTTTTCGTTTGTTTACAAATCCAAATTGCGTGTGTATGTCAGAAAAACATTTACTCGTTTTGTTTGAATTTCATTGTCGCTGTCATTGGATATGGGATGAAAACATATTGAATGGCAGCAAGTCTTTCTGGTCTCTTTCAGTTACGTTCTTTTCACAAATGTGCAAATGAATGAATGAATGAAAAATAAAGTTGGTGGTTGCCAATAATGGATGGAAAAGACGGAATGAAAAAAAAAATAATCTGTGTGCATGTGCAGAATTTCATTCAATAAATTTCGATTTGATGAGGATGGCAAACAACCGACGACACACACACACATACACACACACACACTTACTGTTTATCCACAAATATTAAAAGAACACATCTTGAAGAATTTATACTTGAGAATATGGAATAGTTCAAGGATAATGGAGAACAATGGAAAATCTGAACAAAATCTTGATGTTTTTAAAGAAGATCATCATGATGAATGAATGAAAATTTTTTTTGGATTAAGGCCCATAATTCATTTCATTTCGTCATCATCATCATCATCATCAGAGGATCGGGATTAGAAATTCGAAAATTATAAAATTCTTGTCATGTAATGTGATTGTAATCGGATTAAATTGAATGAAAAAATATTCTAGAAAGAAAAAAGTTTTTTTCTGATTGAAATTTTTCGTTCACTTAAAACTTTTCTTACTTGAATAAGAAATGAAGAAAAAAAAAGATTACCAGTCAAAACAGGTTCAATTCGAATTTGTTGACAATTCTAGTTGCAACCATAAATTCGATTCGACGATGATACACACACACACACACACACAATAGTAAACAAACATTTCTGGATAAATGGCAAAAATAAAATCAACAGCCCACCATTTTTCAATATAAATGATGATGATGGAAAAAAAATTCAATCCAAAATATCAATTTCGCTATATATTAAAAAAAACGAACACACATAGTGACGGTTTCAAAAATCATCATTTTCAAAATCCATCCGTATCTCCATCTGTAGGATTTTTGGCAAAATATTTTTTAAAAAAACAAATTTATTTTTTTCCAAAATTATCAAATCCGATTAATAATCAATATTTCAATATATAAATTAAGGTGTGGTCAAAAAAAAAAATTTTTAAATACAAATTTTGTACAGATTACAATATATATGAATCAACGATCATCATGATGCCATCATCAATTGATCAATATTATCGATCCAAGGATAATCATTTGGACATTTTTGACATGTTTTAAAGAATCTAGAGCCAATTTTTTCTCCTTTTTTAAATCGTACATGACAAATATTTGGTACAAGACATTCCGGCATTTGTTGTTGTTGTTGTTGTTGTTTTATTTTGTTGTTTTGATGATTCATTGCTCGACATTGCCATGGTTCAAATTGATCGATACGATCCAGATTGATTGGATTTTTTATCCATTGTAATAGTTGCCAATTTGTGACGAAATAAACATCACCCAATTTTAGGACTTCATCAATGAAACGTAAAAAACCTGCTTTATGATGTGCAGTGGTGAACCAATTACTTTGATAGAAAAGACCAAATGGTGCACGATTTGTTTCATAATGTCTTTTAAAATTTGTCATAATCAAATCGAATACACCTTTTTCATCTGTAGGTGATGTACAACTATTACCCATTGTACAACGGCCACCGCCCATTAAATCATGCCACATTATTAAACCAATTTCCCATAGACCTAGAAATATTTAATTTAAAATAATGAATATGACTCGAATTTTTTATTTTACCTGGATATGAACGTGTTGGACATGGTGTTATCATGCAATCATGTTGTATACCGAAATCCAGTGTATATGGCCAATATGGTGGTGCATTATCGAAAATCGAAATGGACGAATCGTATGTCATATTTGCATCCATTAACATTTGAAATTGTTCATCACCACCAATCTGTAGGAATGGTGCACGCATACCACGAATTTCATGTCGTGGTATGCCGGCAAAACGATGTAATATTTCACGTTGTCCAGCAATTTCACGATACCATTGTTTTGTCGAGAAATTTTCACCATAGCTATGTCTAATATACAAAAAAAAAATTTTACAAGCTAAATCAAATTTTTTTTAAAAAACTCACGTTATCGAATGCGATGCAATTTCATGTCCACGTGCATACAATGTTTGTACTTTACCATAATCAGTCCATTCATGTGAAACAAAAAATGTACCCTTCATTGGACAACCATTTGGATTTGTACGTTTTGTTTGCCGTTCGAATATCTCTTGATATAGAGGAAAATTTACATCATTAACAGCATCATCAAATGTCAACAGAATCATTTGTGGTATTTCTTTACGTTTCAAACCAGCTGAATAAAAATGAAATGAAAAAAATTTCATGACAATTCTCTTATAAAAATCATCGAAAATTCAATACTTACAAGGTGGTTTAACATCTGGACAAAAACATTTTGGCAGTCGACAATTAAGTTTTGGATCACATTGTTGTTGATGATTTTGATCACTTGATGGTGGTGGTGGTAGCACATAATTTATTGATTCTTTTATCAATGATTTAATCGTTGATGATGCGGATGATGATGGCAATGGATTCGAACTAGATGTTATCAATGCATCATTTGTTGCTGTTGTCGCAGTGGATTTTGTTGTTAAATTTCCAGCAGTAGAAGCGAATAAATTCAAATGAAATACGGGCAGCATTTTTCGTAACGAATGTCCATTATCAAATAAAGCTGTTGTGGTTGTTGTTTTTGTTGTTGGTTTGACACGTTTCTCACTAATTTGACTAGCTTGCATCGATGTTATTAATGATGATGATGAATTATTGTTATTTTGATGATTATAATTTTTCAATAGAAAATCATCTGAACGAATTGTAAAAACTTCCATGTTATTATTCGTTGTCGTTTGGTTTCGATGGATGAATCATGCTGCTGTTATTATTTACATCAACAATCGATTGATGTTGTTGTTGCTGAATTGTTGGTAATGAATTTAATCTTTTTCGAATAAATGTATCATCATTTTTTGAATTTCTTAAATTATCTCTATAATATGAATAGAATATAATTTGTGAATCTTGTCGTGGTTGTTTATTTGATTTCGATTCAGCCAATGTATTTCGATTTTCTATCGATGATTTGCGAGGATTATTATTCATGAATCTTTGTTGCTGTTGTTGTTGTCGATTCATTGGAAATGATAAACTTGGTAACAGATAACGTCGTCGTTGTTGATGATCTTTGTTGTTGGTTTGATTATTATTATAATTCAATGGTGATGATAATTGAGCACGACGAAAAACCTGTAAAAATGAATCCTGATTAAAACTTGTTGCTGCTGCTGCTGATGGTTGTTGTTTTTGTTGTTGATTGGAATTATTCTTTATCGAATCTCCAAGATCATTATTAGAGATTTTATTTTTCAATGATGATGTTCGAGTCGAATCAAATGCAATTGCTTTCGTATTCAATTCATATGATGAATCCATTGGTATAATGTGGTTCATTGTGCGTTGTTGTTTGGATTGTCCATTGGATGGAAATTTCGTTTGAAATTCATTGAAATTCCATAAATCTCTTTTATTTAGATAATCATCATTTAGATCATCATTAGCAGTGAATGTTATCGTTCCATCCGTTGTTGATGAATGATGTTGATTATGGTGGCTATTATTTTGTTTCATCATCATCATCACCATGACTGGCTGTTGTTCGATAACATTATTTCCATCATCATCATCATCATTGATGAAATTTTTATCAAAAACCAGATTTTGTCTAGAATCTAATTCTTTTGTATTTGAATTATTCGAAAATTTTTCTTGTCTATTTTTCTGTGTCATTTTTCGTTGACTTGATGTCATAGATGATAATAATGATTCTGTTTCAAAATCTTTCAATTGTTTTTTAACAATTTTCAAACGTGGGAGTAAATGTTCCGGATAACGATTTTCATTTTCATTGATTTTTACTTTCAACTTTTCATCATCATCATCATCACCATCGTCTTGTTTTTGACCGGATTGTTGTCTTGAATTTAAAGATTTCTGATCCGAATAATTTACATCCGTTTTATTATTATCATTATCACCATCATTACCAAAGACAATATCATCGCCATCGCCATCGACACCACCACCATCAACATCATCATCATCAAATTTTATATTTCCATTGTTGATCAATGTTGATGTAATATTTCTGTTATCATTTTGCTTCGTGGTTGTTGTTTTTGTTGTTGTTGTTCCGTATTTCATTCCATTATTTTTATTTTCATCAATCATCATTTTAATATGTTTGACACGATTCTTCTGTTTAAAACGACAAGAAAAAAAATTAAAAAATCTGGTTCATGTTACATGTTTTTATTCGAAACTATTTTTACCATTGTTGTTGTTTCTTGCTGTGGTCTTGTTGAAATCGACAATGGATCGGCAATAGTATTTGTACGTTGTTCCAATAGTGAATATCGTAAATCGTTCGGTGTATGATCATCATCATCATCATCATGTATATAAATTTCACCATTTGTATCGATAAATGATGCGATTGATTCATCAAAATTTTGATTATCATCATCATCTAGATTATTGTTATCATAATCAAAATTGATTGCTGATGCTGTTGTGGTTGTGGTTGATCTATTTTTTTCATTATCAATAATTTTTCGTCCATTTTCATTATTATTATTATTATTATTATCGATAGTGGTCATTTTCATTGTTTTATTCAATTCGATAATCATATTTTTAAATCGGCCACCATCATCATCATCATGATTGAAATTCGTTGTTGCCAATGTTGTTGATGATGTCATTAGGATGGTACAGACAACATTTTGTGGCCAATCACATGTTTGTAATTCAGCAGAAAAATATAGACCACCGGTACATTGTTCATGTAATGGATCACCAAATACACATACATAATAACGTGAACAATCTTTTCTATCAGCAAAATAACCAAATTGTTCTGGACAAATGAATGCAGATGGTAGTGATGTTGTTGTTGTTGTTGTTGTTGGAGGCGTACGTAATTGTTGATCATTTTTATCATCATCATTACTAATGATTGTTAAATAATAATTACGTCGATCATCAATATTATTGCCAATTGTACGATTATTGATGGCCAGTTTCATCATTCGATCATCATCATTGTTGATGATGATATTATTTGCCACCGTTTTCATTTTCATCGGTAAATTAATCAATCGATTTTGATGATGATGATCATCGGTCGCATCTATATGGAATGGCAAAAAAAATGTAGTTAAAGTAAGAAAGTGAAAAAAAAGACAATAAAAACCCATCAATTTGGATCCAAAATCTTGATCTTTTCTTTTTTCTCTTGAATTAAATCTGATTTTTTTAAAAATTTAAATCTAATCACAATCACAATAATTTCACTTCCCGAATGTGATTGACACTAATTAGTTTTTAATACATTTTCAATACAATCGATCGATTGATTGATTGATTTACGCGCACAACTTTATCTTATTTCATTATATTATTGTTTTTATTTTATTTGATTGCTCATATATTTGATTGAAAACTAAAAATCGATTAATCCTCAATCGATTAGGATTAACAATAGTGTTTTACGCACACACACACACAAATACAGAGACATTTCGAGGAAAATTTCCTTCTACAAAAAAAATAAATAAATGATTCTTTTTTTCTGGTAAATTTCTATTTCGAGTTTTCTTTTTTTTTTTTTTCATTTTATCGTTTTTTTTGTGAATTAATCGAATTTTTGATGAACCTAATAATGGTCTGGTCACCCACGAATGGAACAACAACAACAACAACAACAACAACAAAAAATTGAATGGAATAAATTTTGTTGTAAATCCACGCAAAACAGTCAATGAAAAAAAAACTAGATCATAAAATAATGACACCAGACCAGTAATGTTCATTTCATTTTTTTTTCTCATTCATTTCATATCATCATCATTTGTGAATCTAATGGTGGCTAAGATAATTTCTGTCTACAGCTGTGTAAACAAACAAACAATCCACAAAACGAAAACAATTTCATTTCGTTTCATTTCATTTTTTTTTTAATTCTTGCCACGAGCTTATGATCGTTGAATTTTCGTTGGAATTAGTAAGCATATCACTCATGAAAGAAAGAAAGAGCGGGAAAAGGGGAGTAGGGGTATAAAATTATAGAGATTTGATTTAGACCACAAAGAAAGATAGAAAGTAGAGGAAAAATGAATAGTGATCTAAATCGGTTCCCTAACTAAAATAGTATAAAACCCGAGCTTGACTCGTTCAAAAATAATTCGCTTTCTCGCTTTACGCACAAAAAAACAAATAACAAATACATTAAACAAAACAAATTAAATAATTTACATCAATAATAGGTGTATTATCTTCTGTAAGTTGCAAGTTGGTAATGTTCCATTGCGACACGTCGATAATTTTGATGCGTAAAGTGTTGAATACAACATATAATAAACAAAAATATTGTTATTATTACAATAACAATAGTAACAATATAAAATAAATTCGAATGCAGAAAATTATTTACAAGTTGTTCAACCAAGTGTTTTTCCTTTTCGACCATTGATGTTAAATCATGAAGATTCATTGATGAATTAAATGAATTGAACATTTTGATGACAAGAATTTCATTCAATTCATCATGAAGGTTTTGCCAAGAATTGATTCTAATTGTTGGAAATGTTACCGTTTGACCATTAATCGTTAAATTTTGACCACGCTTCATACGATAAACTTGATTCTTACATGGAAACGTTGACCCATGAACCGTTATGTTTTGCATATAACAATAGAAATACACAAAACTATCATCACTTTTAATCTGCACTATCTCCTCTGGAGTAATGAGATCCTTCTTCATACAACGGTAAGGTTTCCATGTAGCCTTTACATAATTAATATTCTCTTTGCAGTCAATCGAATGGAAGATTAATGGTGACTGGTAATCATTAATTGGATCGAACGTAATATCTCTTACACATTTTGATTCTTTGTTGATAACAGCATACTTGGGACCAGAATATGTCGTAATACACAAATTATCCTTATTCGTCTGATCTGGAGCCACAATATGAAACGGATCAGCCCGAATAATATCATATTTTGGATCTATCTTCACCGTATTTACATTCAGCTGTAAGCGGCTATCCAATGGTGATTCCATAGATCTAAAATAACATTTCTCGAAATGCCACAAATCAGATGGACAATGTTCAAATTGAAATTTTAGGGAACAATTGTTGAAATGATATTTGGCAACGATGAATCAGCAATAAATGCTTCGTTGATAATTTGTTCAGCCTGAAGAAATCTGGCACTAAGTATAGATGTTAAGAAACGATTTTCAGGAAACATGTTTAATCGAGATCAATTTGATGTTGCATATTAATCAATTCATGAACCAACTTTTTCGGCATGAATCTGTTGGTCTAATTTGAAATTTCTATCTCTATCAATGAATGATCAGAGATCCCAATCTGGCTTTTGATAAGAACCAAACATCACTGATGCTATGACGATGATTGATGTAAACACTACACCAGACACAAATGAACGACATAATATCACGTCGAGGTTTAGATGAACTTTGAAAAACGGACCACACTTTTATGCATCGTTTCTTTTATGAAGTTTGTTCAAAATCTCTTTCACGCTTTCCTTTTCAAATTTATGCTTAAAACCATTTGAGATATTAGTTGGATTTAAAACGACGATTTGATCACCCTCACGATGGTGGTTTGAGATGAATGTCAATTTGTGCATTAACATAGTCGGTAGCAACACGATGTTTTGATCTTCTCCAAAATTAACACCGGAAACACTGCTTAATTAATCTGTGATTCTGAGAGGATGGGGAAAATATAATGCTGATTAAATTAATACAGCAAAATATTTGATGAAAAGTTTTATACATAGTTCGATTACAATGTTCAAAGCATCTGGATGGAAATATTGATAAAATTTTTAGTTGGTGTTCACTTTTCCTTTGTATGATGTTATTGTTCAGTATGATATTAATTATACGGGGACGAAGATTTGATTCATACAATGGTAGGTGTTTATGATTTATGAATTAGCTGATTCGTGACTGACGTTGTCGTTGGGAAGTTCGTCGAGGATAGAATCTGGTTAGAATTCAAAAGTAGATGCTGAAGATCTAAGTGGAATTACAGGAATTAGAAGCTGATACAGAATTTCTTTCATTAAAAATTCTCTTCCATCTCTGTTTGCTCTTAACTGTAGGTATACTTCTTCAAGATCTGATTCTTCAGTATCTAACACTTGTGCATTTGCTTCGTTTAAGATTTTCTTATGTGAACAATAGCTTCATGATTATCAACTGATTATCCTACATACTACAGAAGAATATTCCGTAATGATTTAAATGGACCTTCATATCTAGGATCTAATCCTCTTCTATTTAATTCATCTGCAATTTTAGCAAATACCTAACTCCTGGTTCAAACTGTTTATCAACTCTTCTTCTTCGATTCTCATACATCTTTTAATATGATTATGATCTTGACATGATCGTTCATATGCCATCATTCTTTAATGACACCAGACCAGTAATGTTCATTTCATTTTTTCATTCATTTCATATCATCATCATTTGTGAATCTAATGGTGGCTAAGATAATTTCTGTCTACAGCTGTGTAAACAAACAAACAATCCACAAAACGAAAACAATTTCATTTCGTTTCATTTCATTTTTTTTTTAATTCTTGCCACGAGCTTATTTTCAAACGAGATCACAAATCCATTGTTATATGAGGGACTTTTATTGAATTTTTTTGTTTCGCATTTTGTTGTTGTGATCTATAAATTTCAGATTTTTCGTATTTCAATTGTATATCAGAGATAAAAAAGAAAATTTTTTTTTAATGTTATTTTTGGTGGTAGGTTATTTTGTGATCTAAATTTATATATATATATATTGAAATCCATTTTAGATGTTCTGTAGAAATCATTTTGTAGCAGACTACTATTACTACTAATACCAATGTTGTATCACTAAAGTGATTTATTTGAAATCATTAAAAATAATCTGTATGGATTGAAAGGGAAAAATAAAATCTCAATGAATGAATGAATGAATGAAAAAATAATGATGCTTCGTCGATCCGATGTTGTTTGTTGGATTACACATGTATATTTCATTATGGTGGTTTTGTTTGGGTTGTTGTTGTTGGTTGGTGGCGGTGGCCGCCAGACAATACAATTCAATTCAATTGAATTCAACCGAATTGCATTTTTGGTAGCTTTACTGGTAGTTTTTTTTCTCTCTTTCTTTCATTCCATGATGAGAGATTGATTGCCATAATAATAATGATGATGATCATCATCATAATTGGCCAATGCACATAACAAACAAATAATTGATGGTACAACAACAATGCTATCTTTGGATAAAAATTCTTCAAATATTAGAATTGATCAATACCGATCGTTCAATCATATATATCTATTTCAATATCCATGATAATTATCATGAAAATTGCTCACACACGACAATCAACAACAACAACAACAAAATCAATTTTCATTGACCATTGAACAAACAGCTAAAGGTTATGTAAAATCATGGCAAATGGAAAAACCATAAAAAATTAAACGAGGAAGAAAATGCAAATAATTGAATGAAAAGAAAAAAATGGAAATTATGATTTTGTCATGATGATGACGAGAACACGAAAAAGTTATTTACCTGAAGACAATGGTCATCATCATCATCATCATCAGTATCCAATGGGATATCACAAACACACACACACCAAACACCAAATACACAAACATTTATTGATCAGCAAGACGAAAAAAAAAAATTTTCTGTTTTTTCCCCAAAAAAATCACCCGAAAAAAAATTGTTGCTGCTATTCGGGAACACACACACACACACACACACACGCAGGCACACACCGGAAGATAATTTACTAAATTCAATTTTCTGGCCAGAAAAAAAATGTCAAAAATTTTCATTTTTATTTTGACAATCATCATCATCATCATTTTTCCATATTTGAATGATGATAATCAGAATTTTGCATGTTTTTGTCACACACACACACAGAGATTGACAATGCGTACACTGTTTTTTTTTCTCTTTATTACAAAAAACAACAAGATTTTTTCCATCTGCGCGTGTGTGTGTGTGTGGCCACCTGACCGCCGCATCACAAACAAACACACACACGCAAAATACCGGATAATCATTATACGAATATTAAAAAACGATTTACGACATAATTCATATTGAAAATTTTGTTAATTTGATAAAAATTGATGGCATCGGGATTTTTTTTTTGTTGTTCATTTTCATTTTCATTTTTGTGGCAGCTAATTCATACACATCATATCAACTTGTTGCTGATGACAGATGTGATTTTTTTTTGCTGTTTTGTTTCTGTTACATTATCATCATATTTTCCGGTCAAATCGATTTGACAATGGAACGCGAAAACAAAAAAATTTTTTTTTTGTCATTTTTTTCTATCGTTCATCATATCACTTGAAGGTTACACCAATTATCTGTAGCTGTTGTTGATTTAAAATTTTTGATGATGATGTTGACTGTGATAATGTGAAAATTAATTAATTACACATCTGGTGTAATGTAATCATCATCATCATCAAATGTGCCTGTGACAATCAACAAAAAAAAATGTCAAAGAGAAAAAAAATGAAATATTAACATCTGCCCTTTGTTCTTTTGTGTGTGTGAATGAACAACAAAAAAAATTATGTTAAAACAATGTGGAAAAAACGAAACAAAAATGGATCATCATCGTTATCAACCGGCCATAGAGAACGAGAGAAAACTCAAAATTAACATCATCAATGCCATTGCATGTATAAAAAAAAGATGAAAAACATAGATAAATAGTAAAAAAAATGCAATGACCAGTTTGTTCATTGTTATTGTTGTTACAATATTGTCAACTTTGACTTTGAAAAATGGATTGTAAATTTCATCAATAAATAAATCAATATAATCGAATCCATTTAGTGGTCACATTTGGTCATTATTAAAAAGGAAAACTTTTTTTTGTTCAATAGCACAAAAAATCAGGTTAAAAAGCTGCTGAAAAATTTTTTTTTCTGTTCATATTGTTCAATTTCAATCTATTTGTATTTATCAATAATACTGTATTCTATTCTGAAAAGAAAGAAAAAACAATTTAAAATATGCAAATTTTATCAAACAAACAAACAAACAAAAAAAAAGAAAAAGAATCAACAAACAATAAACATAAATAAAAATTGCAAAGTCCATTGTATTCTAATATGGACATTGTCCAGCACTCATCATCATCATCATCATCATCATTATCAAATGGCAAACCAAATACAAAACACAAAGAATGGACAAATATTAATTAATATTCAGCCAAAAAAAAAGTGAATTGTTTTTTCATGTTCAATGTGTGTGTGTGTGTCTTCTCAAAAACATGAGCTTTGTATGTAAATCTTGTCAGAGGAAAAATGATGATGATGATGAAAATCAAAACAACAATATGAATGACTGACGGACGGACAACCAACAACAATAATGAACGAAAAGAGATTATTGAAAGTTGTGTGTGTGTGTGCGAGTTTGCATAGATTAACACGGTAGCCAAAGTGAAAGAAAATAAAAATTTAAAAATCAAATTCAGTTTGACGAATACACAGCCAGTGATGATCATCAAAATCATTTTATTTTTTTTTTTTTTTACTTCAGAACGAAAAAAAATTGAATTAAACCGGATAATAGTAGATGATATCAACACACAATATTGAATTTGGTGGCAGACAAGGATTTTCCACACAAAAAAAAAAAAAAAAATTAAATTGTCACCTGTGTACATGTACTACGTGTTATGAATAATGATCTGTTTTTAATTAACATGTTCACACCTTTTTTGGGGTTTTTTTCCGGATCACACAAAATGAGATTGATGATTTATCGTTTTTTTTCTTGTTCACACACTCACAGACACACGGCAATTTGTGTTCATCAGAAATCAAGTACAAAAAAAACGAAACTTGGTGACATTTTTTTTCTTGCATAATTTCATCTATAATTTAAATAACCAATTGGGCGGCTTTAAACATTGGCCAGTTTTCTGCTCATTGAATGGCATTAATGAATGAATGAATGAATGAAAAAGAAAATTCTGAAACAAAAAAATACAATGATTAATTGAAATACAAATTGTTATGATCATTATGATGATGGCCAATGATGATAAGAGAATTTGACCACACAAAAAAAATGTATCATCATCTCGATCAGCTAAAACTAACCTACTAGTGGCGGCTAGTTTCATGAATAGAAATTATTTTGAAATTTAAACGAAACAACAGATAATTTAATGGATTTGAATCGAAATAATAATAAAAAAAAATGTAAAATTCGTGAAAAACGAACAAAAAAAATTTCAGTTCATATTATATAATAATGGTATCATCATCATCGTCATAAGTGGTAGTAAGTAACTTGTTGCGCATCATTTTCGATTACAAAAACAACAAAATAATAGTGGTCAAATTAGCTGATTATTAGGATGATGACTAAAAAAACATCCACACACATCCAGCATTAAATCAGGGAAAAAAAATATTTATAAATACCGAAACTAATTATCGGCCATGTTTTTGAAATATGAATATCTCTGTGAATGGCTAAATGGTCCATTTATATATACGTTTATGGTAGATGATATGATCATGATTGAGATGATGATGATGATGATGATGATACAATAATGATGGTATCGTCGTGCATCACATTTCAACAATGAAAATGAATCGCAATCAAAATAATGCTTTGTGTGTGCGAGTGCGAGTGTGTGCGTTTGTTTGATCCATATATATATATATGGTGTCTATAGGTTTAAATTATGGTCATGGTCGACTATTTCAATGATAATAATAGGATTTTATTTTTTTGGAGCTGAAAAAGAAATCATCAAAGTTTTTCGTTTCCATTTTTTTAAAGAACAACAACAAAAAATGCATAAATCTTGCTACTGGTATTTTGTTTCACGGCAAATGAAATGAGATTGATCACGAATTTGTTTTTTTCTCGTTTCTTCATCTATGGACTTTGTTTACGAGTAGATAGAGACAATGTTTGAATGTTTTTTTTTTCAAGTTTTCAAAATAAAATGGAATGAAAATGGCAAAGAATTTATCAATGGAATCCAGAGTGTCAAATGAAAACGATTTCGCGATCAGGTCAGTCAATAGAGATTTTAAAATCAAAATGATCGATAATAATACAATTGATTAACGTGATTAATTGAGAATTTAAACTTACTTTTTATGTAACGTTGCTGCTGAGATCTGTCATTATCACCGCCTACACCATGCAATGTTGTCGATGATAATGTATTGGCTGATTTTGGTGGCAACAATGTTGTTGCAGTCGAATGATGATGAATATGAATGAATCTTTGTAATGATTGATTCGATAATTTTGATTTCAATAGTGAACAATAATTGAATAATGATGTAATGAAAAAAATACAAAACAATAATCGACACCACCATAATGACCAGCAACACCTACGTCGATAATTATTATGATGATTTATAATTCGATTAGATCGATTCATTATTATTATACACATAGTTGTCATCATTGTTTTCTAACGATGATAAATTGATTCAAACAACAAATGGCATCGTTCTGGACAAGGATATGTAACAGACACACATACACACGCGTTCAGATCATATGAAACTTTGAATTCCAAATGAAGATGAAGATGGGCGCCAAAATCAGACAACAAACATCTTATGGAGAAAAAAAAATACGATAAAAAAGAGAATTGTATGAGACAGTGGTAACAAAAAAAAAGTGAAAACTTACAGCGGCTTTTTTCATTCAAAATCATCATCATCATCATCATGATGAGAGACAGAGAAAATAAAAAAATTTCGGCTTCTTTATAACTGGCAGTTTGCTCTCTTTATTTTTTTGTTGGCTGTTTATTTTCCACATTAATGAATGTGATGATGATGATGAATATTTCGGCGATACCATATTATTTACCATTTTGACGATTATGATTAACATTAGATCGAACATCAAGAAATGATGAAAAAGAGACGAATTTATACATTGAAAGTTCTTCTTCATCCATTCAGTTGATATTTATATCACAAGAATCAAGGATAAATTTCGCAAAAATTTTCATGAGAAAATTTAAAACAAAAAAATTTTTTTTTGACCAAATAATTTCACTTTTAATTCATTTTCACACACACACACACACCACTATTACATCATTCTATTCTGAAATCCATGGATAGAATTACCGAGAAAACAAAGAAAAAAACAATGATGATGATGATGATGAAAACGAATCAATCGTGTATCATCATGATGATTAACAAAAGAATGTGTGCATGAGATTCTTTTCGCTAGATTATCATGGATAAATGATTGATGAAATCAAAAAAAAAAAAAAAAAAAAATTTTTGAATTAAAATTGGATTTCGTTTTTATTTCTTTGTTTCGTTAACTAAACTTGATCATCATCATCAACAACTGGGAATATAATTTTTATTGTTGTTGTTGTTGTTGTTGTTGGCAACAAGATTTTCTCATTTTCTTATGCGGTTTAATTATCACCCCGTATAAAGTGATGATGATGACACATGGTGATGACAGTCACGGACAACAACAACAACAGCAAACATGATTATTATGATGATGATGATGACCAATGTTATTTGAATGTGAATGAATTTAAAAACTATATATTCAAACAACAACAAAAACGAGAAAAAAAATATCCATCATCATCATCATCATTATTATCATCATCGTTGAAAATTCTTATATTGTTTATACCCTGGAGAGAGAGAGAGAGCTAGCGATTATCTTGCATAGAACAAAACAAAACAAAACAAAAAAAATCATTTGATCCATATGGACAATGAAGATGATGATGATCTAAATAAAGATGTTTTTCTTTTGTTTCGGTTCATTGATGATTTAAAATCGCACACACACACACACACACACACACTGACAAGGCCGGTTATAATGATCATTAACGGTGTGAAAAAAAATTTCATTTTTTGTTTAAATCCACGAAAAGAGCAATTTTTTTCGCGTTGAAACAAAACAAAAAAAAATAAATTTGATCAGATGATCATCATGATGATGATGATGATGATAAATAATGATTAAAATCAGAGAAAAAAAATCCTCAGAAAGCGTACATATCATCATCATGATTATGATGATGATGATAAGTCTTTGTTTTTTTTCTGGAAATTTTCATAATTTTTTTTTTTTTTGCTTTTTTATTTCAAAACATTTCTGAATTTAGGATTTTTCGTGTGTGTGTGTGTGTGTGTGTATGTGTTTTGGTGAGAACTATTTTTTTTGAAATGATGGTCCACACCGTTGTATCGATTATTGCAAATAATAATAATGCAGTGCTGGTGGTGGTGGTGGTGGTAATCTCATATTGACCAAATGAAAATTAGATCACATGACATGGGATTTATTATATTCGAAATTTGTGTGTGTGTGTGGCTATTTTTAAATTTTTTTTGGAATTTTTTTTGTTGTTTTTATTTTTTTGGAACATCTGCCAAACATACACACACAAACACACAAATGGACATAAAAATCAAGGTCAAACCAATGATAATGATGATGATGATGACATTGATAATATTGGATAAAAAAAATGAAACAAACAAACAAACACATCCGTCGTAAACAACAACAACGTTCAAACATCATAAATTTTTCTTTTCTTTTTTTTTGCTTTGTTTTCCACACCGATAAATTTGGTACAATAAATTCTTGATGATTTTTTTGTTTCATTTCAGGTTGTTTATCAAGGTTATCATAATGATGATAATGATGTTGAGAAGATGAAAACAAACGAAAACAAAAATTTATGATTTTATCATTCAAAAATATGTGAAATTTTCTCATCAACAACTTTTAATGTCCCCAGAGAAATGAATGAAAATAGACATTTACGAATCTGTTTTGTTTTTTTTTTTTTTCACATTTATTTTCTTTTAAAATATCAAATTTTTTTTGTTTGTTTGTTTTGTTTTGTTTTCATTATTCTTTGACGATGAATATAATATTTGGATTGCATTCGTTTATTGTTGTTGTTGTTTTTTTTGGGTGGGTGGGTGTGTGTGTGCGATGGATACGATTTGGCATTTTGCTTTGTTTTTTTTTGGTATTTGAAAGAAAAAAAATTGGAAAAGAAGAAAAAATACAGATTTTTTTTCGACCGGTTTCCGATAATTGAAACATTTTCAGTGTGTGATGATTAAAAATGATGATGACGTTTTTTTTGGTTACTTCTTACTTCAGAGATTTGATAAAAAACAAACAACGGTGAAAAAAAACAGGGATTGTGCATGTGATGATAATGAAATGAAATTTTTGTTTTTTTTTTTTTCCAATTGGTCAGTACGTGTAAGTGGTGGTATGAACATGCGAGAAAAAAAATGAAAATTTGATCTCATACAATGGTGATGATGATAATGGAAATAACAGATGAATGTGTGTGTGTGTGGTTTATGTGTTTGAATGTTTTCGCGGTTTTTTTAAAATACTTTTTTCAATTAATAATGATTAATGATATATGATGATTTTTGAATTTGAAATGATTTGTTTTCGTTGTTGTTGTTTTGACTATAGGAAACAAAAATTTGATCATTTGTGTCTACATTTATAATAATAATGATGATACGATGATACGATACGATGATGATCCTTGACAATGTTTGGCAATCGATAGTGATGAACAACAAGTTTTTCCCACTGGACGATTTCTGGTTTTTTTTAGTAATGAACCTGAAATATTTTGGTTTGGAAATGAAAAAAAAATTGATTAATTTTTCCCCCATTCCGCAAAACAAATTTAAACTTACCCGTGTATTTATGTTTACTTGGTTTTATTATCTGTGTGTTTATTGTGGTTTAATTTTTTTTTCCAATAAAAAATTTTCACACACGTTTGTCACCACCATTATTCAATCGATTAATGATTGGCCATGATTGTTTTTTTGAATTAATCCTTATTTGTCGTTTTATGTTTGTTGTTGAACTATTGCCAATATCGTTTATTAATCGATCATATGCAAAATATTTATTATTATTACGAAAACGTTGATGCTTATTCAATGTCGGATAACGATGTGCCATTGTATATTGTTCACGATGATTTGATATCGGATGATTCGTTATCGGTGAAATACTGCGACGACGACGACGTCTTCTTCCTAATTTTTTCAATATCTCTGTATTGATTGCAATCTGTTCTTCAGTTTCTTTTGCTTTTCGCCTGGCAAGTTCAGCCATTAATCTTTGCCTCAATACGGTCAATGGATAATCAATCGATAATTGTGGACCTTCACCACGTTTTTTCACCACCGTTGGTGTATTCATCATACGATTAAGAATAATTTCAAAATTTTTATTATTCTCCATTACTTTATCAACATTTTTCGGTTTATTATTCATTATTTCATCTTTATCCGGTGTAAACGAATCATCCACATCTTCAAATGATAATAAATCATCAACAACATCAGTTGCATCACCACCAAGACCGGCATCTTTGAATAAAACTTCATCAATTTTACGTAGATAATATAGTAATTTTTTCGTCGATGAATGTTGGATCCAACCAGAATCGATAATTTTCTTCACAGAATCTACTTCATCAACACCAGCATTATCCAACAATAATGAATGTTGTTTACCAGATTTCGAATCACTTATATTATTGTTGTAGTTGTTTTTATCATCACCGGAATCGTCTATATCCAATTTGATTGGTTTATTATCAAATTGTTTGCCATTATTATCTGCCACCATCGATTGCTGTTGCTGTTGTTTTGGTCTTGTTGAAGAATCTAATGAAAATTCTTCAATAGTTGGATCAAAAATTGGATCATCAATCAATCGTGATTCTGAATTATGATGCGAATGATGATGATGTACACGTCGATGTTTATCATTATTATTATTTAAACGTAATTGTTTCAATATCTTAAATCTCATTTGATTTGCTGATGATGATGATGATGATGGTGATCCAATTCTTTGTTGAATATTCGATTGTTGATTAAAATTATCATCATTATCATTATCATCATTATCCATTCTAGTATTAGAATAAATCATCATCATCAATGCATCATCAGCATTATTATTATCGTTGTTGTTGTTGTTGTTGTTATTAGCAATTTTCAACAATTTTGGCTGTCTATTTGCAAATTTTATGGAATTCCCCATTACACAACTATTATGAAATATCATCATCATCATAATAATAAATATGGTGATTAATAATGATAATGATGATAATCGTGATGACATTATTAATTTTGAATTATTATGTTGTTGGTTGTGGTGCTGATGCTGGTAATGATGATGTTGTTGTTGTTGGGGGTGGTGGTGGTGGTGGTCAGAATTCAAATGATGTGGTTGTTGTTGATGATGATTATTATTATTGTGATGTTGATGATGATGATGATTATTATATTTCGATGCTGTTACTTTGGTCATTGTTGTTAATATTTTATTTTTCATTTCTTTTTGATTCATATCATTATTGTTGACGAATTTCGTTGCAAAAGAATCCATTGATTTCATATTATGATCCGGAATAAGAATATTTTTCCAATTCAATTGTTGTGTATTATTTATGAAACATTTAAATTTTTCTTGCACAACAACAAGTGGTGCACTCTGTTGATGGTCAATGAAATCAGATTGTTGATCAAATGCTACCACCATGTCTTTGTGAATTCGGTTTGATTCGGTTTCGATTTTATTTTCTCATCAACCATATGAATTTAACGATGTAAAAACTATATGAACAATAAACGGAAGAAACAAAAAATCAAATTAGTTATTCTGTGGTAATAATAATTGGCATATATGTGAATGTGATGAAAGTTTAGCTCAATAACGAGCTAGAAAGAGAGAGAGGATGCAAATAACAAATTCGTTTAAATACTGAAAATTTTTACTAAATCCAGACTCCCTGATGTCTCTGGACGTGATATATATCTTGGGGTATATGAACGCGGCAGCCAATTGATATTTTTTTTTTTCTTTATCAAAAATGAACAAAATCTGCTGTAATTTATTGAACTGAGGTGCATATAGTGATGATGATGATGAATCAATGTATGTATGTAGTAACGATAAATTGTTTGATAAGAATCTAAAATTTCAAAAAAATCAATTTAAATCAACAAGTGTGTGTGACAGAAACGTAAATAATAAAAAAAAATCTAATCATCATCATCATAAGACAACTTTGTCGGCATTGTACCTATTTATACATGCTAATTGTACTGATTGATTCTGTCAATCAATCAATTAGTGAGAAAAAAAATTCACACAAACAATCAATCAAAATAGTGATACTCACCTCCGTGATCAAATTCACACAAATTGAATGAGATTTAATTTAAAAAAAATCATGATGATCAATCATCGATCCAATAATCAGATGATTCTTTGTTTGTTTGCCAATTTTTATATTCACAAATAAAAAAAAAATTAAAAAATTGAAAGCAAAAAACAAACAAAAAAATCAAAACCAATAAAGTAAAAAAAACAATTTCTGATTCAATAAACAGAAAAATTATTTTTCACTCTGATCAATAATGATCAATCGATTGATTCCCTCTTAGTAAATTTATAAAAATTATATATATACTTGAAATCAGGGACGAGAAATTTCGAATGACAAACACACACACACACACACACATTATACATATTAAGCTGTAATCAATATTTATTGATTAAGAATAAGAAAATGAATTGATTTTGCCAGGGGAAATCCGTCCTTTTCTAAGTAAATCAGGTCAACAAGATTATTATTATTCACACCAAATGGTAATATTTGGATTTTTTCATTTTGTTTCAGCTGAAAATAAATAAATATATAAAGAGCATCTTGTGTGCTTGTGTTTGTTGACATTATCACACACACACACACACACACATATAAAAATGATAAAAAAAAATTCAGGTTTTTTGTAATAGAAAAGAAAAAAAACTGAAAAGTTTAAAAATATACAAAATGCAGCAACATACCTTTTTTTCAGTGGTCGAATTCTGGATGTAAAATTTTTTTTTTTTTTTTTTTGACTCAAACATACAGACACATTTGGTGAATGTCAATTAATCAATCAGTTTTTTTTTCTTCTTTTAAGTTATTATTTATCAATCAATAATCGATGATTCATGTCATAGCGGCGTACAGATTGTTTATTCATCGAAAAAGAAAAAAATTGTCTTTCAATTTGAATGGTAATCGCGATGGAGTGTATGCGGCGTGGGGGGTTGTGAATTTCGTTGTCAACCGAAATGAAATTTCACCAAGAAAAAAAAAACAAAACAAACAAACTTGATGATGATCAATTATTATTATTGTCACACAACAATATTGTTAGAATTTGTTTCACCTCGATATAAAAAAAAACAACAAGAATAATAAACCACCAACTTTATTTATATATGTGTGAAGAAGAATAAAATTTTCAAGAATTTAAAATTAAATATATCGAATCGAATCAAATCAAATCTCAAAATTTATATATCATGAGTTCGTTGTCGTTGTAAATATAGTCTCGTATTGTGTTAATGTTACTGCTGCTGTTTATGTTTGTTTGTTGTTGTTGTTGTTGATTGTTTGAATGCAGTTTTTAAAATGAATAGAAAAAAAAATATTCATTGCTACCAGTGTTGTTCTTGTTTGTTAGTGTGTGTGTATTTGATGTTTGATGTTTTAACCTAACCAACCAACCAGCCAATCATTCAAAAATAATGATAATCACCATTATCATCATCATCATCATCATTATTTGCCGTGTGTAGTGTGCTGAACGCTATAGTATGTTGTGCAATTCAATTTCTATACTATTTTCTATGCCCGATTACAATGATGATGATGATGATGATTATATGACGCGAACCCGAATGCGCGTCAGTATTTTTTTTTTTTCCATTTTCTTTTCTTTTTTTTTCTCATTCATTCTCTCCATTTCTATTACATCTCATTGGTTATTACCAAAAAAAAAAAAAACATTCGTATACATACATTGCTTGTCAACGATACATTACACACACACACACACACATTATTATGGTTGGCAGCCATCGAAAGTGACAAAAGAAAAAAAAAATTAGAAAAAAAAGCTGACGACTATTACCAGTATCAAAGTATAAATGATGAATGAATAACTATTACTGTTGCTGCTGCTGATGCTGCTGACTAACTTTTCTAGAGAAAAAAATTTTTTTCAAATTAGATTGCCCAGACCACTGAATAATAATAATATAAGAAAAAAAAACGAAAGAAATCAACTGCTGAATCAAATGTTGATTGAATGAATGATTGACTGACTTGTTGTCGTTGTCGTAATCGTAATCTTTATCGAAAAATAGAAAAGATATGCATCATCTTCATACCGTACAAATATTTAATGTTTATAATTAGATTTTGGTGTGTGTGTGTGTGTGTGTGTGTGTGGAAAATGATTGACGAATAAAAAAAAAAATGCGGTATCTTTTTTTTCGATTCGATAATAATTTAGTAATTGTCGAAAATCAAACAGAAAAAAAAACATTTGTTATCATCATCAAAAGAAAAAAAAATTTCGACAAATTCTAATAAACTAGATTTGAATTCAATTTTTTTCTTTACCGGGAAATTTCCTTTTTTTCTATTCTTTCATTCTACAAAATTCAAAACATAATGGCATTCAACAGTGAAAGAGAAATCTGTCTGTTTTCATTGTTCAATGTAAATGGATTGTTTTTGAATTTTGAAATCAAAAAAAAAAAAAAAACAATTACGAATGACAAAAAAAATGGTTTATTCATGCAAATAATAATGAATTTGAATAGATGATGTTTTTCAATAACATAGATTCAAATTCAAATTCAAATTTTTTCGCTACTTTTAAATTTCATTTCATTTTTATCAATTTAGTCAATCATGATCAAAATTGAATAAAAATGAAAAAATAAACCAAATTCTGAGATGTTTTTTTTTCTTTTCAATCTTGCAGGTGGGTGGATGGTTGTTGGTGGTGGTGTTGCCATCATTAAAAAGTATTATAGATGGTTGAAAGAAAAGCACCGGAATTTGTGGCTAGAGATTCTAGATTCTGGATTTTTTTGGTTTCAAAAAAAAACATTCTGTCAATCAAAATTTTTTTTTTAAAATGCCACACATTATGCACCAAAACAAAAAATGATTGTGATAATTATAATCATTCACATTTGGAAGAAAAAAACGACAACTTTTCAGCTGCAAAATCATCATCGTCATTATTTTTTATTTTATCTTCAAATGAATCAAATTATCGATTATTTGACAAATAGAAATGTTAGTTAGTGCAATAAGAAAAAAAATGAGTAAGAGAGAGAGAGAGAGATGGCCGGATGTTTTTTCGCTAAAATGCAAATTTTGATTTCTATTTTTATTTTTTTTTTTGTTTTGATTTTTTTTTTTGATTATCACATATGAACTGAAATCGGTCATGTTTTTCGATGAAAAAAAAGTTCATCAATCGTTTTCTCTGTCATCATTGTCATCATCATCATCATCATCATTCACACCAATGAATCCATTTTATTCTAGTGAAAAACAAAAAAAAAAATTAATGAATAATCAATGATGGTCGACGTCGATGAATTTTATGATGATGATGATGATGATGATAATAAGCAATGAATAATAATGATGTTGTTGATTCGAATGATAAGAAAAAAAAACAACAACCCGAAGAAGAACTTGACCTTTTTATTCACCAAATGAAAAAAAAACAACAAAAGAAACAAATCATACACATGATTTCAATCAAAAATTATCGACATATGTAGATCACAAATTGAATTGCAGCGGGAATTTTGATTTTGTCCATCCATAATGACGATGTGGATGTTGAGGCAATTTTTTTTTGTTTGTTTGACATTTAAAATTATTGTTATTATTACAACCAACAACGAAATGTTTTGTTTGATTGTCCATCAAACCATCAAGTTCAATGTTCATACACACTATATAATTGACCACATTAAATGTCAATAAAGAATATTGAACTGATTGAAATGACTACATAGTGGCAACAAGTGGATGGCATATTCGTGGATTTTTTTTCCAGTTCCCTCACTGAAATCCATCAAACGTCATTCATAGTGAATGAATGATTAGGAATTGATTTTGAATGCGGAAAAAAAAAAAATTTTTTTTCAATTAAAGATGATAACGATTTTTAATCAAATTGAATGTATGTTTAAAGAAAAATAACAAATTATCATATTGGCCATTGTATTCAGTGGTAAATGTTTCATTTACATTCATATGACAATGGTCATGGTGATCATGATCATGATGATTATTAAACAAATCAAACATTGTCATATGAATTTGTATAAGTAGATAATAAATCGCTTCAATTGTCGATAAATGATTCATTGGACGTCCACGTTGATAACGCCAAAACATTGTCTGTTTTGAATCGATGATCAATGTTTTCAGTTCTATAAAATGAAAAATAAAGAGAGAATCAGATAGAAAAAAAAGTTTAAAAATCCGAAATGAGATTTGGGAAAAAGTAGACAACCGGAATTTCTGGTTATAGATCATCATCATCATCATCATCATTTCCTATGCATTACCAACAACAGCAGCAACAACAGCAACATTAAAGATTGATAAATATTTAAAAGAATATTAAAAGTTGAATCAAGAAATTATTACCCGGAATAAAAATTCCGGTGTATGTGTGTGTGTGTGCGCGTTTAATTTTATGAACCAAAAATTGTTTGATGAAACAATAACATGAATATTGAAATTGTTACCAAATCGGGTAAATGAAGAAAAACAAGGAAAACTTTTTCTTCATCATCATCATCATCATCATCATAAAATTCTTCTTGTATCATTTATAAAAACAGCCAAAAAGCAAAAAGAAAAATCCAGAATAATAATTAAGAATGGAGTTCTGTTGCGGTACATTGTTTGTGAATATGGCTGAATAGTCGAAAGCACATTTATCGAACTTTTGATGTGAAAATCAAAGCATTATCGTACGGCTGGACTTGATGAAGATGAATTGGAATTATGGAAAAATATGACGATATATTGAAGGCAATGATCAATAATGTTAATCTGAATGAATTATTGCATAATGATGATGGTGATGATGACGTGGATCTAAATGAATCTGATGCTGATAATGATGATAGAAGTACTCATGGTAGTCATCTCTGATGATGATGATCGTGTTTCGTCTAGTGGATCCAATCCTGATGCGAAAATGATATACCGATTTACAAAATTGTAAATTCAATCAAATCGTTTAAGGATAATGTTGCTGAATGGCCAGCGTTCAAAAAGTCGTGTTGAATCGCTGATTATTGAACGGAAAATATTTCTGAAAGTTCAAAAAGAATCATCATTTCCGGTATTGTAAGAGGTAAAGCATCTTCGATATGGGATCGATGCGAAACCCAAAAATGGATATATAAAAGAGCTTGGAAAGCCTTGTCGAAAGAATCTGAAGATCCTGAGCTCATAAATATGTACATCCAGTCGATGATACTGAAATGACCAATGTGAAGGACAAATACGATACCGATGGTCTTGAAGATTGAAACGCAAATTGAAGAATTTGCGAATGCCATACAGTTTAACGGTCCCTCGTTATGTCGATAACACGTCCCAAATAGTTTGGAAATTGCCAATAAATTTTGGAAAAAGAATCAAAAATCATTGCTGAATGTCAATCGTTGGACGATCTTGTGGAACGGGTTAAAAGGGCTCATCGCCATGCCCTAACGTGGGCAATAAACATAATGCTGAGCTTAAGTTGTCGGCAAAATCTGTGAAAAATGTTGAACCAAAGCCCAGAGTATCATCTGTTCGATCTGATTTGCGGGATATTTTCTCGATTCCTTTCGCCCGTTCATCAAGGGAATAAAATTCCTTGTGTATCATTTATAAAAACAGCCAAAAAGCAAAAAGAAAAATCCAGAATAATAATTAAGAATGGAGTTCATTATGAAAAGAATTTTGTTTATGTTCACGAAATTGATGATGATCTGCTTTCAATAAATTTTACTCAATTTTGTAGTTTTGAATATTTGAAAAGAACAGAAAAAAAACAGATATTCAGAGATTTTTTTTGGCTAAATACAGCATATAATGTTTCGTAATCAAAAAAAATTGTTAATTAATTTCATTTGAATTAATGATGTTTTATGATGAAACCAAATAATCATCCTAGTGTTGTGATTAGCTGATTAGTATTATTTGTGTTTCAAAGAAAAACTGGTCATTTAAAGGTCGTTAGTTCATCATTGTATTTTGTGTGGTTGAGGCCATAAAAAAGCCTATTTAGAATTGATTCATTCTATGTGTAGGAGATAGAGAATCTGTGTGTGTGTGTGTGTGTGTATCTAATTGACAAGTTTTCTTTTCACGGAATAAATCGAGGACACAGGCATACACACAAACAAAGAATCACATACTTATATAATTGGATTCCAATGTATCAACAAAAAGAATTCGAAACACGAAAGAAAAAAAAGAACTATTCTGTTGAAAAGAAAAAAATTCTTCAAAAGATCGACACACACATACAAGTGATTAACAGAATAAAAGAAATCTAAAAGTTTTTCATTTTCATTTTTTTGAAATAAATTTTTCCTGGGGAATTTTTTTTTTCATTTTCTGTCACATGTTTCAATCAATCCTTTTCACATTAGTGTTAATTAGATCGATAATTTAATTATATTGTTGTTATTGTAGTTGTCGTTTCAAACGGAAAAACGCACACACACACACAATGAATTGATGTACGTTTGATGATAAATTTTAAAAGAATCCCGAAAACAAAACAAAAATTATTGGCTTGACACACATATGATGATGATAATGATGATGTGATTAACTAAAAATAGATTTTGGAACATTTTCATTTTGAAATGAAAAAAAAAAATGAATCCACACATCACCATCATTATTAATGCCAGAATATGATGATGATGACGTCTAAATAAATTTTGCAAAAAAAAAAAAAATTTCAACACTTACGTTGTATACGAACATTGCGTAGAATTTTTTTCGTCTGTTGCCAAGTGCTTTTATTAGCATCCAAAAAAAAAAATCGATCGATCGATTATTATTGGTGATTGAATGTGAAAGCAAAAAGAGAGAAAGAGAGAAAGAGAAAAGAGAATAAAAATAGAATAAATTTTTCAATTATAATTCCAAATATATGTGTGTTTGTCATCATGTCTTCTATCCCGATCTATTGATCATCAAATATTTAATCCGTTCAGGAAGTCAGAGAAAAAATTAAATTCCATTATTAGAATTATAATCCACAGAATAAAAATATGAATTTTGATACATATGAATTGGTAATGGAATCACACACACACACACACACACAAGCAACTTTTCATTGATTCTAATAATACATCAATATGTATTACGTGACCACTTTGTATGATTTTTTCTGTTGTTATTATGGCCATCGGATTTCATGGATGGAATTTATGATATTGAGAATCGGCATTGTCAAGTCATGTTGATCAATTTTTTTTTTGTTTCAAACAATAAAATGTTTGTGGTTTTTTTTTGTTCGCAGTTCTTTTTTCTTTGAAATTTGGTTTGTGAAATGGCGAGGAATACATTGAAAAATGAAAAATAAATAATAATTACCTGTCTATGACAACGATTCTTTCGATTGGAAATTCCGCAGATAAACAATGTTGTTGTTGCTCATCATCATTATGATGATGATGGTAATAATTTTGAAGAAATTCTTGAACAGTTTGTGAACCAGGTTTTGGAAATAATAAAAATATCTATATAAGAAAAAAAAAGAATCAAAACTCGAATGGAAAAAATTTTACAAAGAAAAAAATTGCAACAACAATCAAATACACAAACGAAGAAAAAAAAAAAAAAAATAACATCATCCTGATCGGTATAGAATAAACAAAATGATGATGACATTAACATACAACCAAAAAAAAAAAAACCGGAATCGTAAATTGAACGGAACAAATAAACAAACTAACAAAAACATGCACTGGTAATTTGAAACGAAAACAAAACAATCAAACAGAGCGAGAGAGAGAGAGAAAGAATCAGTTTTTCAATCAAATAAAATGTTACAAAAAAAAAAATTAATGTTGATGTTGATGATGATGATAATGTTTATGTGCGTTTACGATTCGTTTCTAATGAACAATAAAAAATCTATTTATCCGGAATAAAGTGAATAATACTGTGTGACAGTGCAAATTTATTCTGTTTTTTTTTTTTTTTTATTTCACGAATGTCAATAACGTTCACAAGAATTATTAAGATGCGTAAATATTAATTCTGATGAGAATTGAATTCAATAATCATTATTGCCATTATTCTCTATTTTGGATAATAGAAAATTCTAGCACATATGTGCGTTTTAAATTCAAGAATTATATCATCGTCATTGTCATCACAAGTAATCCCTATGAACAACCGAAATTGTACTAAATATCATCATCATCATCATCAAATTGGTCGCACAAATTCCCAGACAAATAATGATGACGACGACGATGAACAAACAAACAAACAAACAAAAAAAAAAAAAAAATCATGGAAAAAAAACAAATTTTTTGTTCCATTTCCTAATAAAATGAAATGAAAAAAAAATAATAGTGACCGCACCCATAGGAATTATGGATGAAATTCTATAAATTAAAAAAGAATTATCATCATCATCATACAAATAACATTGTGACCGACAACAGAAACAGAAACGGAAACTGAAAAATAAATTTTCTGTCCATTTATATTCAATAGATAAAAATAACATTAACGAATGTAAACAAAAACCAAATGAAATGTAATTTACATCGAATAATAATCATAAATCGAATGAAAATCTCACACACACACATATTTTTTCCATTGGATATACAAAACATAGAAAGAATCTATTGGTTTTCAATTTGAAAATTTTCTTTTTCTTTCACTCTATTCAGTATCTGGGCAATATGTGTGTGTGTGTGTGTGTATTTGAAATGAAATTGAATAAAATAAAATAAATGAATACTATTGGTGGGCGATTTTGGGGTGATTTGTGAAATCATAAACATGGATTTGGCGTTCGTTTCGTATTATTATTATTATTTTTTCAAAATTGAAAACCAATATATTCATACATACGAATATAGAATATAGAATATATCTGGGTTATGTTTGACTTTTCCATGAATGAATGAATGTCATATGTGAATGGAGAAAAAAAAATAAATAAATAAATAAATAAAATTCATGTCATTTAGAATATATATAAATAGAAAATAGAAAAAAAATTAATAACGTTGAATGACAACACAGTAGCAACACAGCAACAACTATTACATAATAAAAAAGGAATTATGTTACACTGGAAAAAACGGAGAGAATTTGGATCAAAAGAATATGAATATTTGAATATTTGGAAATACACAAATAATAATAATTATTATTATTATTATCATGTAAATGTCATTTTCATTGACAACAATTAATATTAATAATGATTATGATGATGATGATGATAATAATAACTTTTAATAATGATTTCATATTAATAAATGTTCAGCATATATTCAGCACAAATAAATAAACTAAACAAAATTGGACAAAGTCATCGTCATCATTATGTTTTATTTTCTTTGTTGTTGACAAGCATGTAACGAGAAAACGAAAACGAATATTCAAGTATTTGACCACTCAATGATGATGATGATTTAATGAACGATCCATTGAGATGACCATCACAAGTAATTTTTATTCTTAATTGTTTGATTTATATATGAAATAATTCTTTAATTTGGGCAAACACTTGGAAAACAGACATTTTTACAGTTTCCGTTTGTTTGTTTTGTTTTTTTTTCAGTGTTAGAACAAACACACACACACACACACAAAACAATTTGCATAATCATTGTTATCATAAATATCAAAAAAAATTGAATCATACACATACATACCTTATTCAAATCATGCCAATCATTTGGCATATCTGGATAAGTGAATATTCTGACATCTTTTGGCGGTGTTGTTAAAATCATTGCATGAGTACTAGTACTTTTTCCATTCAATTCTTGTGGATGTTTTATAATATCAATTTTAATCGGTAATCGAATCATTGGTATTTTTCCAATCAATTCTGGTGATATGATGAAACATGTATAACAATAATAAAGCCGTGAATGATGACATTTTTCACATATAAATCGATCTAAGATGATGAGAAATTTCAAAAACAGAAAATTAATCAATCTTATCAAAACCATAATGATTATCACTTACCACTAATTCGATCAAGAATACTACAATCGGCAATTCTATTGATTGATTGGAAAAATTTGAAATTTTAAAAATTAAACAGAAATAATTATGCCATCATCAAATCATACTTGAATTCATCAAATGGATCACCATCTTTACAATGTTCTAGGAATTTTTGTTCCAAGTGTATGGTAAAATCTTTACGCAAAACACCAGGTCGTCGGCCAAAAAATTTATCGATCCAATCGTTATCAATTTTATTTGATGATGATTCATGATTCATCGCAATTGTCATCGTTATTCTTGAAATCAGCATCAAATTCACTGAAACTATTGAGAAAATCTTGATAAAAATCATCCGTAGTCATGATTGATTTGATTTTTTGTAATCAAAAAAAAAAAAAAAAACAATTCGATGGATGAACTTGATACAAATTGAAACACGTGTTTGTGATGATGATGATGATGATGATTGATCACATTCAACAAAATAGAAAAGTTTCAAACTTCATCTCACAGATGGTGCTACTGTATACATGTGATCAACAACAAACCGGCAAATTCAAACAACAACAACGAAAACAAAAAACAAGCTTTAGTTGCCAAGTTTTTGATCTACGAAAAAAAAAAAAATTTTCATCCGAAATCTTGACTTTGATTGAGGTTTTTAAGGTAGTCAAACTTCTCTTTTTTTCTCTCTATCTCTTTTTTTTTTGATTCAATTTTCTCTTTCTCTTTTTCTCTTGATTTGGTTCGTCATGAAAACACAATAAAGTTATCCAATATTAAACGCAACAAGTTTCCCACACACACACACACACACACACAAACACTTTTAACAACAAAAAAAGCTTGGATTCATTCATTCAATGAGATTCATGAACTGATCATTTTGAATTTGTAATTCTACATGACAATTTCATGGTGTTTTTTGTGTGTGTGTTGTTGGTGTGTAATTATGATTGTGAATTGTAAACAAAAATGGCCAGTGTAAAATCTATTTCCACATTATTTATGGATCCAAATCGTTTGGCAAAAAAACTACAAAATTTTACCGCTAATAACATTAATCATAATTTGTGTCTGCAAATGTTTGATCACTGCATTTCATTGATTTCATATTGGAAATTATTTTCCAATGAATTACGTAAACATTGGCTTCGTATATCCATCAGTCTAGCTATTGTTTCGATACAATTGATTTGGTTTTCATCATTTTATATTTCATTAAATCATGACCGAAATCATTGTTTTCAATCGATCAAATCAATCGATAATCAGCCAATAATGATTCCAAATAAAAGTGTTGAATCATCTTCTTCGCTTATAATGGTGAAAACCAGCGCCGATAATCATGAAGTGGATTCATCGTTTCATATGACAAATAATGCTGACGATCCAAAAGAATCAACAGAATGGTTTTCATATTTTCTTGATCGATTATTATTCGTCATTAGATTAACAATCATTATGGTTATAATGGAAATATTACGATCATCAGATACAATATGGTCGATATTGTTGACAATCAAAAGATCAAATCATGTGAATAAAAAAATGAAATCATGTCGTGATCGTAAATCATTCATCGATTTAAGCTACATTGAACGTAATCGTAGTTATAAATAAATAAAGAAAAGAAAAATCGAATATTTGAACATTCACTTGTTTTTCATATTTTTTTTTGTCACAATTTTTCCAGAGAAAAAATCAATCAATCAATCAGTCTAACTTTAGCTAAAAATATGAGCAAATTATCTCCGAAAAAAAAACTTATTGAACCTGAACACAAATATCGATGATGAGAAAAATTATGACCTTGAAATACAACCGAAAAAAATTTAATTTTACCAGCTCAGCTGCCAAAAAAAAAAAGATTCAAAAATTCATCATCAAGGTTATTCATGCTTGAAACCGTCAAAATCGTAATATTTTGTTCAAACGTTAAAATTCAATCAAAAAAAAAAAAAAAAAACTCATCAACTGATGCACACCACTTGCACACACACACACACACACACAAACTCAGCGTTGGAAATGATGATTGACCGTCGATTCAATATTGAATTTTTTTTCCATTTGAATGAGGTTATCAATCATCAAATCCGATTATTATCAAATTTTGGCTGAGAAAAATAATTTTTTTTCTATTATTTTGACATTGACAATTCCTGTTCGATTGATTATTAGTGATCAATAAACAAGTTGAGTTGTCGTCATATAAATGTCAATCAACCAATTGATTTGAAAAAAACGCACATTCATTCATTTTCATCTGCATTACAAATTGTTTCATTTACCCACCGCCATCACCTCAAACCTTTAATTGATCATTAAATATTGATTTCAATTTTTCTTGAATAAAAAAATTTTTTTTGACATTTTATCAGTTTGTTTTCAATCAATCGATCTGAAATCGGAAAAAAAATTTCATTTTTAAACACATAAAAACGTGATTTTTGTTCTATTGTTTTTTTTCTACTAGATCAATCCAGATCAATCATCAATCATTCAATCAATTTGAGAAAATAAAAATAAAATAATTGAATTTGTCAAATTAAACAATCAAGAGATTGATTTCAAATCATGCAATTCAAGTCGTTTGATCATCAATTATTTGATGGTTTTTTCTGTGATTATAAATGCTAAAATTTTGGGTTTGATTCAGAAAATAAAAACACAACAATGACCGGATCAAATCAATCATTTATATCGATCTATGCGGTGATTAATAACATCTCAATCATCATCACAATGGACAATTCAAACATCGATCAAAGTTGATTATGGAATTTATTTTTAACTTTAAGTTTTTCTTTCCGAAATTCTTTTGCCAGTTTGACACAATTACATTTATTGTGTTGTTGCCGCTGTTTTCCAATCGATTTATTGATCAATTGATTGAATGATTGATCAATTTTGTACAAATATCTCAATGAAGAAAAAAAAATTATTTGAATAATCATCATTTGATATTCGAGAGAGAGAGAGAGAAAAAAAACAAAATCGATAATCGAAATCAACAAAACATTAAAAGTCAAATTGATTAAAATCATGACCGACAAATTATCAGTTTGTGAACATGAGAAAAAAAAACAATACGAGTAATTGGGCCAACGAAACAAAAAACAACATTCAAATTATCGGTCTGTGGTCAAAGAAACAACAACAAAAAAAACCAAATTATTTGGTCAACTAGTGTCATTATTATCTCCGTACCACAGTGACCACATCTCTTTCACTTTTTTCCAATTTGAATTCAATGAAGATTGATTGATTGATATAAAACAAAAAACACAAATTTTAATTAGTAACCAAACACGCACACACGCACGCAAGCACGCATGATTATCAAATTTTATTTTTGTCATGGCAACTTAAATGGCTATATATATATGCTGGACCTGGAAACGGAATTCAATTAAAATAATAATAACCAGAAAACAAAACAAAAATAAAAATGACCAGACAGATAGCCATTAATTGCAATAAATTGCACTTTTGAATAAAAAAAAACTTTTTTTTTCTGCATGTAAATTTATTTGATAATTTCTTCAATCAAAAAAAAAAAAAAAAAAAAAAAAATTGTCATTTCATTTTCTTTGCCCCCGGAAATTATTGTTTTTTCATTTCGTTTTCATTTCATTCGCACGGAAATGGACTGAACGAAAAAAAAAAGATTTTCTGATAACCATCATAATCATCAATTTCATCATGAATGTAAGGTGTGATGATGATGGATGATTATGGTTTTTTTGACATAAAAAACAACAACAACAAATCAGAATGAAAGCAATGTGTCATCATTATCTTTATTATTTGTGCTGGACAAAGCTTGCTGATTTGCATATTTTTATCCATATAATAACCTGCTGGAAAGCAATCATTATGAAAGAAGGAGAAAAACAAAATGTTATATCAAATTAAGGAACAATGAAAAAAAAACTCAATGAAATTTAAATTTAAAATGGCCACAAACAAGTCATTCATTCATTCATTCATTCGTTCATTTCATTTAGACAATTAATAAAAAAAACAACAAAACAGTCCACTGTCAACGGGATGTGTTTGATGAATGTGAATGAAAATGTGTATTATTCTGTCAAACCATATAATACCTAAATCAATAAATCAAACATTTGGCCTACATCCTTAATCTTTGTTTGTTTTATTGAAATAAATTTTTTTTTTCACTGACATTTTGTGATTTGATGATTTCAATGTAGTAAAACAAAAAAAAAGAAATTAGAAAAAAAAATCCTAACCATTTATCTATTTCTAGAGGAATTCCGCCATAATTTATTCGAAAACAAAACGGCCATTTATATTTGCATGATGATGATGATGATGATAAAACAATTGGATTTGAATGAACAACAACAACAACAAAAAGTAAACAAACAATGAAAAGCAAGCAAAGGAAATTGCACTGGATTTTTTGTTCATTTTTGTCGATTATTTTTTTCCTGTTTTTTTTTTGGCAAAACGATTCTGAATGAATTAAAACGACCACATTAGATTCAGTTTGTCGAATCAAATTAGTTGACGATCGTCAATGGTTGATGATTGTACACACACACATTTGGTGAACAAACCTGAAAAAATGGCTATACAAAAAACTGTAATTTTATGCGTTTCATTTGGCCTGATGATGATCATAACATCGTTATTGGTGGCCACCGTTGTTGATGCTATAAGTAAGTTTTAAATTTGAATATTAATTCACTGTGTGTCTTTGATGATTGATCCATTGAAAACAAAACAGAAACCGAAGATGAATGTCTAGGTGAATTTGAATTCTGGTCCTGTCAATCATCAACACGACAATGTCAACGTATCTGTGAAAATAAAGGGTTTGTAATTTTGTTCTGCATTTAAATCAATCAATCAATTGCATATTATTGATTTATTTTGTTTTAGTGTCGATAAAAAGAAATTAAAATGTGATGGTGAATGTCAACGTGCTTGTGTATGTGAAGCCGGTTATCTACGCGATGGCATTGATGGTGAATGTGTTTATGATACTGAATGTAATCTTGGTGATGATGATGATGATGATGCTTCCGGAAAAGTGGATCAAATTCAAACGGAATCCACAACAACAACGACAACGACAACGGCAAGACCAGTGGTGAATAATAGAAATATTGGAAAAAAATTAGCCGATGTAAAGAAAAATAAACCAAAAAGATATGCCGGTGAAACTGAAGAATATGCGCGTGATGAAATTGATGACACGAATGAAATCATTAATGGTGATGATGATGATGATGATCATGAAGAATTAGAAGATTTTTCACGATTCTAGAATTTCAAATTAAAAAAAAAAAAATTAACAACATTCTAAACAACCAGATGGCGATCCTGTCACCAGGTAATATTAACCAATCTGATGACGTTGTTTCGAAGATTATTTTCTTTTCTGTTTTTCTTTGCTTTAATAATAAACCAATTTATATCTATCGTCGTATAGTTATTATTAGTATTTTCGAGTGTAAGAATAAATAGATTTTTTATTCGTCAAGAAGTTTTTGTTGTTGTTGTCGCTGCTGTTGTTGTTGTTGTTGTTGTTATTGTTCAATCAACCAAATATATTTTTGGTCCGGTAATACAGTTATACTGGCACATTGGGTGTGGAGAAATAGAATGGATATATCTGTCCAAAATCAAATTCAATTTAATCAATTTGATTTGTTGTCGTTAACTGTTGTATAAATGAATGGGAAAAAAAGTGATGGAATGAAAAACGAAACGATATGAAATTGTTACTTTTAGCCGGAAATAAAAAGAGAAATAGAGAAATGTCAATGATGTTCAATCAATGGTCAGTTTGGACAAATAGACATATTAATGTGTAACATATTGAGAATCAATCAGATTGATATTCGTGTTTGCGTTTATGTGTGTGTGTGTGTGTGTGTTTGATGACCACATAAACGGCAAAATGAAATTTTTGGCTGTTTTGGCCAAAGAATTTTTTCATTTTTCCATTTTTTTTTCACACCAAATTCATGAATATTCTTACACTACTTACAAGCCAGAAAACAAAATCAACCACCATGATAATGATGTAATCAATTTTCTTTCCGGTTTTGTCAAAGTATTTTTTTTATTCTTGGAACCAAATTCATCATCATCATCATCATTATTATTATGATGGAAATTTTTTATAATTGAAAAACAAAAACATAATAAACAACAACAACAACAACAACAACAACAACAAAGCAATCTTGGCTATGTTTTTTGTTTCTAAATTTAGCATGGAAATAGAAAATTACTTATTCATTGTGCATTGTGCACTATGTGAATAGAAATTATTTAGATTTTCGGGTTTTTTTTGTTGTTGTTCTTTCATTAATAATTTAAGCTGGTAAAATTTTAAAATCGATTTCTTTCTCTTTTATTCTAATTTTTTTTATCGCATAACAACAACAACAACAACGAAATTGATCGTCAGGCTTTTCCGGTAAATTGTCAATTGTTTATTATTATTATTATTATTTTAATCGGAGAAAATCTTGAGATTTTTTTTTGTTTTGAGCGCGCGAAAAAAATGTACAAAATTATCGATTTTTTTTTGTTTGAATTTACCATAAGACTTGCATGCAAACGCACGAAAATAAAAAACACATAACGAATCTTTTCAAGTTTTTGTATATAGTGTCTAGATTCTGCTTTGCAGAATCTCTCGCTCTCTCTCTCTCTCTCTCTCTCTCTCTCTCTCTCTCTCTCTCTCTCTCTCTTCTGGTCAAGTCATCTGGTCCGATATCCGACCATATATACACACAAATTTTCAGAGGTCAAATCTGGTCCGCACACACAGAGAAAAAATTCACAATTAATCAATAATAATTAATTATATCAAGACCAAAAAAAACAAACAATGTCCATTACAATGTTTTTTTGAAACAATTTTTTTTCATAAAAAAAACATGTGAAAAAACAAATCTTCACATTCCATATAAATTGGCCATAATGGAATGACATCGACATACACACAAATATTCGATGTAGAGAGAATAGATTGATGATTGTTATGAGAAAAAACAAAAAAAAAACAAAATGAAAAAACAATGATAATGAACGAAACAAAACAAAAAAAAACTTGTCGGTAATAATGAGAAAAAGAAAAAATTTTTCTTACTTTGTTTTGATCCATTTTAATCTCATTCGATTTCGTTTGTGTGTGTGCGTCCATTGGAATTTTTTATTATTAGATTTTCAGATAAAGAATAGAAAACGAAATTGTCGACATTCATTTAAACAACAACAACAACAACATCGACGACGACGACGACGACGACCACGACATTGATAGATAATAATGAAAAGTAATTTTTCTTCACCATTTTGTTGTTGTTGTTGTTGTTGTTGACTGACTAAAATCCATGTGTGTGTCATGAAAAATTAAATAATTTTTAAACTTGGGTCATAAATATAAAAAAGTTTCTGGTCTGTGTGTGTGTGCGTGTGATCGTGATTGTAAATTTTCGTGATAATCAACACACACACACATTATAATCTTGATGTCTTTATTTTTCTTTCTATATAAAAAGAAATAATTCACCAACTCTAGTTGAAATTGCTTAATTGATAATAATGTGGCCATTTTCATTCAAGTCAATGGTGATAATTTTCTGGCCATCGATGATGATGATGATGATGATGATGATTGCTTTGACTCAAACTTTTTTCCAATTCTATTTTGAAATCAAAACAAAAAAAAAACAACCACGGTTTGTGTGTGTGTATTGTTTTTTTTTCAAAATACGTGATTTAATTACTTTTTAGTTGCAACTTAATTTAACCGAAACAAAAAAACGAAACGAAACTAAAACACAAATGTGCTGCCATCGTTTTGAGCGTTTTTACTCATTTTTTTTTTATTTTCATTTATTTCAAAATCAAAATTTACATTGTACATATATTGTAAAAAAAATGTGTATTTACAGGCAAAAAAAACCAATCAAATTTGGACAAATATAAAAAATCAACAATAAAATGACAGATATATGAGACAAACAAAAAATCATTTTTTTCTGTAAAAATTTTGTACAAATTGCGTGTCTGTGTAATGATGGTCATGATTGGTCATTTTTTTGTGGAAAAATTCTCTTCATCGTTGGCCAAATCATAGCTACCAGAACTGTGGCTTAAATCATCACCAGAATCATCATCTTCGTTTTGATTTTCTAATTCTTTTTTCATGTTTTCTTTCGATGATAATGATAATGATGACCGATTATTGTTCTGATGATGATGATGATGATAATTCAATGATTCTGATTCGCTAACAACAAATAATCTGGAATTTACATCATCAACATTATCATCATCATCATCGACTGGATGTATTATAATAAACAATGATTTATCATTATCGATGGAATCACCGCTGTTTTTGTTGTTAATACGATCAATAATCAATTGATCGATTGAACCTCTCACCATATTATTTTTATCATCATGATCACCTTGTTTATATTGTTCCACAGTTGTCGTCATTGTCGATGGCATCGAATGAGAAGAATGATGATGATTGTGATTCTGATTCTGACAATTGGAACAATGAATCAATGATTCTGATTCAGATGATCCAGACAAGGATGATGATTGAACATTGGATTCATCACATAATGATTGATGATATGAATTGGATTTTTTCAAATAAAATTTTTGTTGTTGTTGTTGTTTCATCGACGTTCTGGTTATCATTGCTGGAAAGGTGGATGTTTGTTGTTGTTGTTGTTTGATTGATTGTACATTATCTAGACAATGTTGATGATCTTCATCATCAACATCTGAATCTCCGTCAGTCTTAAATGTTGATTGTTTTCTTTGCTGCTGCTGTTGTTGTTGTTTATTCACAATCACCATCAACGATGATAACGATGACGATGGCGATGGTGATGTTTTATTTTCCACCAATTTATCATTCAATACTGATGTATCATCATTATTATTTTCACCAAAATCTTGTCGAGTATTTTGAAATTTAACTCGTGATTTATAATATAAATTATAACGATTATTATTCGACGATTGCTGCTGTTGTTGTTGTTGATTATTATGATTCTGATGATTATGATGATAATAATAATGATGTGCTTTATAAATCCGATTACGATTATAGCTTAATGTTGAATTACTCATAAAACATGAACATAATAATTTACGAAATGCACGACGAAAATCTTTTGACCAACATGCATAAATAATTGGATTCATTGCGCTATTAAGCCATCCTTTGTTTTTATTTTTCGTTTGTTTTCACAGTTTGTAATGGCCGTAAAAGTTTTATTTTTTTTTGCGTTGATCCAGCCCAAGTGATAAACAGAAAAAAAACGTACCGGGGATTAATTTTCATACAAACCGAAATGGTCCGTAAAAAAAAAGTTTGGAAAATTCCAAATGGATAGAAAAATTTTCCAAGGAAATTCGGATTAATCATGAAAAACGAAAAACAACAATAACAAATTAACAAATGACAATATAAACAAAACAAAACAAAAAACTTACCAAGCCAAGTGACAATGGAAAAAACTAAATCTGGTTCCATTATACAACTATCAGGACAGAATCCCATCAAAATGTTTGTAACAAAAAATGGTAACCTGTGAATATAGTAAAAATTTTTTATTATGAATTGTTGATGCAAATCAGTGAATGAATGAATTCATACCAACATAAGATGAATACACCCATTACGATTCCCAATGTTTTGGCCGCTTTTCGTTCTGTGTTTTGCATAGAAAATCAACAAAAAAAAAAAAAAAACAAAACAAAACGAATGAATGCGTTCATTCTTGGAAAAATGGTCAAGTTTTTTGTACAGAAAAAAGTTTTTCTTCTCCTTAATCATTTTGTTTTTGTTTTGTTTTGTTCTGTTTCGACAACAACAACAACAACAACAAAAAGAAAACTTTAAAATAGTCAAATTGAATGAATGAATTCAACGAAAAAAACACACACACGACCATATGTGAATGTGTGCAATTTAAATTTGACCGATTTACCATCGAAAAAACAAAACAAAACAAAACGAAACGAAAAAGAAATTGAAACCGGTGACGATAACGTCGGACAAACATGCACAGAGAGAGAGAGAAATGTGCTGATTTTTTCAAAAAAAAAGACAGAAAGAAATTGCTTAGCTTGTCAAAACAAAGAGGAAAATTGCAAAGAAAACTTTTAAAAAATTTTTTACAAACAAAAAAAAAACCACTCCGTTTCTGTTTCTGTTCTCATTTACCTTTTGCCAATTTAGTTAGCCGTCGTCCAACGGATAAATTTGTTTTCGCCGTTGTTGAATGATGATGATTATTATGATGATGATTATTATTATGATTATCATCATCATCATCATCATGATTCTGGTGATGATTGTGATTCTGATTATTTTGTTTTTTATTCGTTACCGGTTTTTCTGTATCCATTGTAGAATTGTTTTTATTATTCAAGCTCATCATAGAATTATGATTACTACTAGCAGATATTATTCTATTCACATTTGATGATGATGATGATGATTCATTGTTTAATATTGTTTTCTGTTTTTGTTGATTATTATTCGGATGATCCATTTTCTGATCACGAATCATCATCATTTTTTTAATATCACAATTTTTTGCCAATTGTTTTGTTGTTGTTGTTGTTGTTTTGTTGTTGATTTGGATGAATTTTTTTTCTTTTTTAATATCGATAAAGTAGTATTAGTTGTAGGGCTGGTGGCGGTAGCTACACTACCAGCAGCAGCAGCAGCGGCGGCCGCAGCGCCACCACCACGATGTATTCGTAATGTAAAATTTGAACGATAATAATCAGCATTATTATTAATATTTGAAGAAATATTATTTGTGCTGCCACTATTACTATGTAATAGATTTGCCTGTTGTGATGATAATCCGATATTATCCGCATTCATATGACCAATATATGACATTTCAATCTGTTTTACACCCAATTTCAATGAACGATTCTGTTCACTAGCAACAACATAGATACGATAATAAGTAAAAACCATAATTGTCAATGGGCCATAAAATGAAATGATTGATGAAAACACTAGATAACCAACATCTTCGGTAAAATTACAACGATATGGTTCAATTGGTTTCTATAGGAAAAAAAATGAAGAGAAAAAAAAACAAAAATCATTAAAAAAAGGTCAGGTGCAGCACCACTGTAATCAATTAATTATTTTCTGATGATGGAAAATGTGAAAATTTTAAATTAAATTAAATTAAATCAATGAATGAATATTGAATCATCATCATCATCGTTGCCGTTTGATTATTTGATGATTGATTCGTTTGTGTTAGGATTTCCAAGGGGTCGAGGAGGACGATTTTTTTTTTTTTTTTGAAATACAGTTTTACATTGGTTAAAAATCTTAGAATGGAAGACATGTCCTTGTATGGTAAGGCTGAAGTTTGTTTGTTTGTTTTTTTTATTATTGTTGTTCAACATGGAAAAAAGCAACATTTGAAAGATAAACATTATATATTCAGTGATTTTGGAAAAAGGAAAAAAATGCGATGCATTGAAAGCCTGAAGCAATGAATGAATGAAATGGTATGGCTAATTTTTTTTTTTTTTTTTTTTTTTTTGGATCCTGTGCACACACAATCTGGAATGATTGTAATTCTAGATTCTAGGAGAAAAAAAATTTTTTTTTCTCATCGATTCATTAGAAGATACTGAATGTTTTCGTTTTTTTTCTCACATTTCCGGAATTATTATTAGTGAAATTTAATCGTGTTAATTTTTCTGTTTCATCCTTCCATATATATATTTATTGATGTTTTAATGTGGATATATAAATGTGATGAAAAACATTTCCGGTTTTTGTCTTTTTCGATATATACAGAATTTGTTATTTGTAAATTTGTTGAACCATTATCATTATTTGGCGTTGGTTCTGATTAATTCGACCATGTTGTCGATGAGACAATATTCTTTCTTGTATTTTTTTTTTTTTTTTTTTTGGTTCACAATTCGTAATAATCTATTCTGATGATTGTAAATTTTTTCCCAAAAGAGTCATGATGATGATAATGATGATGATTCATCAGAATAATCAAAGAATAATGATGATGGAATGAAAAGAATTTTTTTTCTGCTGAAAAAAAGGTTTAATGAGCTACGAGACAACAAGATGACAAAAAAAAAGAAAAAGAAAATGTTTTTCATTCATTGGTGCGTGTTTTTTGTTTTGTTTATTTGTACAACAACAGCAGCAATAGAGATATTGTTGTGTAAATTAATTTTTTTTTTGCATCTTTTTTAGTCTTGTTTTTATTCTGTTTTGTTGTCATCTCCTGAGAAATGTTGCTTAATCAAAATAATATACAAAACGAAACAAACCTTGGCAACAGCACGCCACCAAACAATGGCTGGAAATGAAATCAAGGCTGAACAAAGCCATAGGCTTAGTATAAATATAAATGCTTTACGTGGTGTCATCCTAGATGGATAGGTAATTGGATCGGTTATTGCCCAATAACGATCTAAATTGAGTACAACAATACAGTGGATTTTTTTTTGAAAAAAAGAAAAGAGAAAACAAAATATGATTATTGGTTAAAATATTGATTGGTTATTAATCAATTCACTGACCTAATGAAATGATGCAAAGATTCAATATACTAGCCGTACTGGCCAATACATCAAAACTATGCCATAAATCACACCAATCTTGGCCGAAAATCCACCATTTATTCATCACTTCATGTACAACAGAAAATGGCATAACAATTGCGCCGACTAAACAATCAGCAAATGCTAATGATGCAACAAAATAATTCGTTACCGTACGTAGATAACGTTCTTTGCAGATTGATAACATTGTTAAACCATTACCGAATACAACGATCACACAGATGATACCAAGCAATATACTGAGACCAGGATAATGAACACGTAAATCTGGTTCCAATATTATCGTCGTACCAATTGTTTGATTCGTTTGTTGAGCATCAATCGTTGTAGCGGTTGTTGTGGTTGTGGATAAATAATCATTGAACGGAAAATCAGCACTGGTGGTTGTAAATTGATTCAAAATTGTTTCAGCCAATAATGAACTATTATTATTATTATCACTAATTATTATCGATTGATAATCATTTTTATTGTCCAACATTCCGATTTGATGATATCGATTTGGAACACTTGTTGTTGTTGTTGTTGTTGTCGTATTTTCATCATCAATCTTGATTAGATTAAAATTATTCATTGTTTATTCGTGATGAATAATAATCGGAAGAAATCGTTTTTTTTTCTCTGCTCCATCCATAAATACCATGATGATGATTTTAAAATGATGGTGAACACGTATACGTTGAAAACGATAAATAAATAAATCAAGACAAACAAAAAAAAACGCAATTTTTTTGTGCAAATTTTATGTCCGATAAATCATTTCATCATCATGGTGATCATAATTGGAAAGACAAAAAAAAAACGATTTGACCAAATCAAATTCAATGAATTGAGCACTGAACAATGCTCAATCGTTTGTTTTGTTTATTTATTCTATAATAAATCAATGAAAAAGGAAGAGAAAAAAAATCAGTTAAACATCAAAAAAATTGTCAAAAAATTTTGAACAGATTGAAATCCGAATCAAATTGAATTGAATCATAAATAAATCCAACATGCATACAAACGAATATGGATATATGGGTACCAGTTATACAGGTACCGATATTGTCAATATTATCCATTACGGTCATCATCATCATTATCGTCGGTCGTCGTTGTCGTCATCGTCATCGTTGACCAAATTTGCTAATCAAATATTTTTGTTTGTCATATTAATGTCACAATTTTTTTTTTTCGGTTTATTTACAAACAAACATGTCATTTTATCATGTGTCAAAAATAAAACACAAAAAACACACACCTGTCCAAACCAATAGAAAGATTGATGGAATGGAAAAAAAATACAACAACAAAAAACGAATGAAAATGAAATTGTTATTATTGATCGATAATAAAGACACACACGTACACACACACACACACACACATAGACAACTGGAAACCCACGACGAAATGAACCGAACACACATACACACACAAAAAAATAAATTTTTTTCGCCTAAGAATCCGTAACGACGCCCAAAATTTTTATTCCATTGTCGGTCATGTTACACACACACACACACGGACACAAAAAAAAATTTTTTTTCAAGGTTCATTTTCAAGAAAAAAAAACAAACCAAAATATTGTTGTTATATTTAACCAGAAAAAAGATTTTTTTCCCCATTCGTCAGAATATGAATTTTCCATTATTCCATGTTTTTATTAGTTGTTCATCATCATCGAAATTTTTTTTTCTGGTTATTTGGTTACTTGGTTGGTTAGAAATTGGTTTTTGAATTCCGGGAAAAAATGAAATAAACATTGAGAGAGAGAGAGAGAGAGAGTGAAATGTCATCATTTTCATTTTCATTTTTTCCTCATAAATAAGTTTTTGACTTGCGGACGGAAATGAATGAATATATGACTGCTATCTGTTGGTTGAGTGTGGTTTATTTATTCGCATTCGTATATGTGTGTGTGTGTTTACAAGTGACGAATTTTTAATGGAACAAATGGATTTTTATTTTGATTGTGACTAACTAACTAACTAACTAACTAACTTGCCAACTAACTAACCAAAAAAAAAAAAAAAAAATAAAAAGATAAAAATCTTGGATATCAAATCAAATGATCAATCTTTTTTTCTTTGATAATGTTGACAGAAAATATTTTCATTATTAATACCATATATACAGCATACATTCATTATAACGATGACTACTATTACTACCGATGATGTTGAATGATTCAACTTTACGTATATATTATGTGGGTTAAACACTTGAATAAATATTTTCTCCCAGTTGATAATGATGATGATAATGATCACAATCGACATCCTGAATGTTAATGATATTTTTCCATTTTCATCTTGATAAAATGATGATTGAATATGTGTTTGTGTGTGTGAGCGTGTGTGTGTGTGTGTGTGGGTGTTTACTAAGTGTTTGTCCAACTAGAATCGAGAATAAAGAGGTGGTATATTTATGTAACAGTATTGTGATGCAATGATCGAATGATTGTGCTGACATCAACAGAATCATTATTTTGAAATCATGATCATGATCATCATCATTAGTGATAGTAGTGGAAATATATTCAATTCTGTATATACAAAAAACAGTAAAGAAATCTCCATTTCATTGTCAAATTCAGTCTTAGTATCGATAAAATAATGTCATCGAAACATGTAAATTTGCAATATAAACACACCCAAACAAACAAACAAACAAAAAAATGTTTATTTGATTGAACGACGACGACGAAAAAAATCGAGATTATGAAAAATTCAATGACGACGGAGAGTCATTTTTACTTGAATAAACAAAATATATACAAGCCATAAAGTTGGCCATCATCAACAATAATAATAATTTGATGATGATGACCAATTTGATTATCTTTTTTTTTAATCAAAATTCTTTATACGTAACAAAATCTTGATATATACCACAAGCGAGAGAGAGAGAGGTAATGCTGAAATTAGAAACTTGAACTGAATTTGGAATCAGCATAATAATAATAATAAAAAAAATGATGATAACAAAACAAACCTTTGGATCATGAAATCATGGAAAAAGACGAAATTTAAATAAAACATGAGAACATCATGATCATCATTGATAGTAAATAGTGATAGAAAATCCGATTTCAAATTCTGTATATCAATGCAAAGTTTTTTTCTTCATCTTTCAGAACTTTTTCGATGAAAAAAAAAATGAAAAACTGGAACACCCTCACACAAAAATATAGCAATGAAAAACAATTGAATATTGAACAGCAGCAGCAGCAACAACAACAACAACAACAACAACAAAATGATAACCACTGAATTGATTTCGGCAATATATGATTTTTTTCGTTCTCCACAACCAACCCCATCGAAAACCGCCTACCCACCAAAAAAAAATCAATTTCAAAAAAATCAAAATAAGTTTACGAATGAAGACGAATTATTATTACACAATAATCGAGAAAAACTGTGTGTGTGTGTGTATTGAATAGAATTCAATTTGATGATCGATTGTTCAATTGTTTAGTTTTGGTTTTGTTTGCACACATTATCTATAACCGGAGAATTTTTTTTTTAGAAAATTTCAGAATAATAAATCTATGGAAATATATCACTATCGTTTCCTGTTGTTTTTTTTTTTTTTTGTTTTGTTTTGTCCTGTTTGTATGGAGAAAATAATAATTTGATGAGAAAGTTTACGGGAAACACAAATATCAAATCAAATCATCCATTTCTGTATTATTTTTCGATCAACATTCATATATCGATTATTATTGATTGGATATTGAATATTTTTTTTTTTGAATTTGAAAAAACAATGAAAAAAAACCAACATTGTAAACAGAATTGATAGTGTTTCATTCTATTCTGTTTCGTATGTCAAATTCTTTGATTCTAGTCGATACATTATTGATATGATGATGATGATGATGATGATTGAATGGAATAATATCATTTGTTATTATTATTTTTTCTTGGGAATCGAAAACCAAAAATAAAAATGAATGAAACAATGAAACTAATAAATAATGTGAATGTGAATGTAAGGCAATCAATATTGCCAATTTCGTATTATTTTTTCCCTATTATTTTCCAAAGAATTTTCAAACCACCACCACCACCACCACCACCACAAATCAAATTAAAATTGTCACATGTCAAAGAGAGAAAAAAAAGAGACAGTGGGAGAGAGAGAAAGGAAATTTTTTTTTACCCAGTTTATCAATAAAAAGTTTGAGAAAAAAAGAAATGTTCATGTTGTAGAAACAAACAAAGAACTGGCCTGCAAGGAAAAAAAAGTTGATTCTATTTTTGAAATGAAAAAAAAAACAAAATTCTACGAAACAAAACAAAAAAAAATTCTGCAATAATGACAGGGTTTCCATTCTCTATATATGTAATACCAGATCATCCAAACATTGGCTTGCTGTTCATTATCGTATTTCATTCATTCATTCATTCGTTTTTTTTCTGTTGTTGTTGCCATTTTTTCAGATACGGTTAATTAATCCAAGTGAAAATGACTCTACATCAATAATGAATCTGCTACCATCACTACTACCACTACAACTACTGTTGCTGTCTAGTATTCACATCTAATTAGAACAACAACAACAACAAAAAGATCATCTTCAGAGAAACAAAAAAAAAATTGACAATCAACATTTGGAACAATCGAATGAAACCAAATCAAGAATAATCATAATATTTATATGTCAACGACTTCATGATCATGATCATCATCTTTTTAATCAAAATCATTGATATCAATGCAGGGAAAGAAAAAAAAAAACAATTAATAAATAAGAATCGAGTAAAAGTGGAAAAAATAATTAATAATGGAAAGTGAAAAAGTGAACAAACCAAAAAAAAAAAAATAATCTCTTGTTATATAAACTGGTGTATGGCGTATGTTTGTTTGGATCATAATGATAATGGTGATGATGGTGGAATGGAAAAAGAAAAAAAAATAAGAAGCAGAAAAAAACACATTGATAATAAATATTGTCTTTCTTGTATGTGTTAGTTAGTTAGTGTGTGTGTGTGTGTGTGTTTGTGTGCAACAACCAAAACAAGAATCAATTACAACACAACAATCAAGCAACAAACGACAAAGAAGAGACAAAATAAAAATGGCAAACATTCATTCATTCATTCAGAGAAATATGAAACAATAAAAAAAAAAATCACATCATCTTCATCATCATCATCATCATCATTGAGCAGAAAATTAAAGTGAAGAAAAAACTGAAACCAAAACAAAACTGGAACATGAGAGAGAAAGAGAGAATCGTTTTACAAAACATTGATGATGGTGATGATGATGCACTAGTAGTTTTATCATTCACTGGAAAAAGAGAGAGAGAGAGAGAGGAATAAAAAAAAACTCATTGGCCTATGAGATCAAAGAAAAAAAAAAGGAAAAAAATATCATCGAATATTAAGGCAATCAAACAATAGCTAACATGTGAGTAAGAAAAAAAAAGAAGACAACAATAAAGAATTGAAAAAAATTCTGTATACAAAACACAAACCATTAAACACTGAGGAGAAATGAGAATGGCAACAACAACAACAACGAAAAAAAATTGAATGAAATAATGGATGAAGAATTGTAAATC